GGACCTGCTCATGAGTCCGCGGACTCCAAGCGGACCGGACCGGACTCGTTTGACAGGTCGGTCCGCATAGGACCGGACACCATTGAAAGTCCGGTCGAGTCGGGTCCGTTTCAAACACTAGTCGTCGATTCATCAAAGGCAGAACACGTTCTTAACGGAACCGCTCAGATATCATTCACCGCCGAGGTAGAACGATTTCAATCGTAACCGACAAAGCTAGAGCTCTGCCAGCCAGATTCGTCATATTTCGCACTCCATCATCACTGTAAATTACAAAATGGTTCGAGCTTATACAGGTCCAAAGGACTCCTTGGTCGGCAAGACATAATCGTAACGTAATATTTAGTGGTAGCTCTGCGCTCTCTGCATTCTTCTTCTGCTTACTGAATCGCTTCAATATTCCAGATTGCGACCATCTCATTGCAGTAATGCTGACTAAGAGTCTTTATTCCTTTAGTGGTGGTAATTTTGTTACTGGTCGATCTACTTCAGAGAGTTTTGCTCTTGCAGGAGCAAAAGTCATTATTTCTTCACGCTCACTCGAACAAGCTACTGCGGCCAAGAATAAAATTCAAGCGCTTGTAGCAAGGAGGATGCAAAGGAGAGTGTAGAAACTATGGAGGTTGATACATCCAGCATGATGCGTGACGGTTGAGCTTCATTGACTCTTGTTCGTATTAGTAGTTGTTTATCGTAACAAATCTAACTGCCCTTAACACGCAATCTTCTCATAGGCATCAGTAAAGTCCTTTGCCTCGGCTTTCTTGGCTCGTAATGAGAAAATCGAAGTTTTCGTCGCCAATGCTGGCCTGGTTGCTTCTACTGATACCAAGACGTCAGAAGGCTATGAGCTTCACTTTGCGTCAGCTCAAGGACACTTTCTCTTGACATTGCTGTTACTTCCAGCACTAAAGAAAGCGTCGAATGCTCGAATCGTGACTGTATCGTCAACCGGACGCAACCTCTTCCGGGCCATCCCATATGACCAACTCAATGGCGACAAAGTGCTAGAAACTCAATCAAACTTGGAAATGGTATCTAGATATGCTGTCTCGAAACTGGCAAATGTCGATTACTCAAAATTGCTCGGTCAGCGGCTACAAAACTCTGGAATCACTACCTATTCTCTTCATCCTGGAGCTGTCGCTACTGGTATATAACTTTTTTTTACAATTCGTTTGAAAACCTCGTCCATTGTTGATTGTCTGACGTATTCACTATCATAGAAATCTGGAAGGAAGTCCCAAATTGCTGCAGCCAATGATCAAATACGTCCTGCTAGGAGAAGAACAAGTTGCACGTACTTTGCCACTGCAGCTAAAGCTGGCAAGCAGACCGGTCTCTACTACGAAGATTGTGCTGTAAAGGCTACTTCCGCGTTTAGGGTCGACGACAAGAGGCTGCTGAACTGGTTGAAACCAGCGGAAAATGGTTGAACACCGATGTTTTATTTGTATTTTGACAAGCAGGCAGTCAGCAAGTTGCAAAGGTGCGTTGAAAGCGGTCGGTATAGCTGTAGAACTGTGCTGAGCAGAAATTAGTACAAAGTATCCGCAATATATAGCACACTGGAAGTGAACCCCAACTTGAAAGTGCTCTTCGCGGCAGTGATTTCACGATCTACTGAAACAAGCAGGTGATTAGCAACCGCCACCACAGTGTGGGCGAACTAGGTAGACATCAATTCCCAGCTCGTTTTGGCTGTTTTTGCCTCAAAATCACATCCGCACACGTCACCCGCACATTTACAAAGCGAGAAAACCATAGCAAAATTCCAAACGAGACCAGCCAAGTTCTATAGAATTGTATAGCTTCAAATGCTAATTGTTCCATCAGGTAACTATGCCCAAGTCTCGCATCTGTCTGAAAAAAAAGACTGCGTCAATAATCACGTGAACGCAAAAGTTTCTCAAGATTTTGGATTGCAACAGTGCAGTAACATAAGGAAAGATCAATAGCCAGCGAGACTATGCGCCAGCTAATAACGAATATAGTGACGTCGCTCTGACACATAGCATCACGAGGATGTTGACTTTGCGGGTATGAAATTTGGCCGGCATCGTTTTCCCGTTTTTGCGAGAATTAGCAAGGCAACTAGCAGAAGAGAGGCAGTAGAGGATCCTGGAAGCTGTAGCAAGTCCATAAGGTACCGTCCGTTTGTAATGACTATCGAGGTCCCTGGTTGGACCTGGTCCTTCCTTCGTACAGCTTGTTTCATTTCTGCCGATTTCTAATCACTCACTTCAAAAACAAGCTCACCGTTTAGCGGTCTCAAGTGTTAGATATATCGCATCAAGACAAAGCCGATCTCACCAGAAACATGTCTTCAGACGATGATGATGGTAAGCCTCTCTCTCTGTTCCCCTGGTTGAAATTCGCCGTGAAAGAAATAACAACACTCCCATGTGAATTTGGGTTGCATTTGTTTCAACACCATACCACGTTTGTAACTATGTATTCACTTTAAAAACTTCAAAATAGTTCCATCCGATTATGACTTTGACGAGCCAAAAGCCAAAAGGTCACCGAAATCCAAATTGACGCCTGGTCGAAAGAATAAGGCCGATCCAGAACAACGTAAAGAGAAACGGAAAGCACAGAATCGGGCTGCTCAAAAGGCTTATAGAGGTACGCTCGTACATTGAAAACCCTGACAGACTTGCACTTGGCTCACACCTCCACACAACTTTTCAGATCGAAAAGACAATCATATACGCGAACTACAAGAACAAGTATCAAAACTACTGAACGAGAACTCGGAACTGAAGAACATTATCAATGACTTGAGGTCACAACCATTGGGATCAATGATCACTACGAACACGCACTTAGCATCTCCAGTCCAGTCTTCATCGTCGTCTATAGCATCATCCATATCATCCAGTGCATCATCCTCATCAGCCTCATCAGAACCACGTAGGAGTATCACTCCCGTCGAAACTGAACCACCCAACCAAATGGACGAAGATCCTATCGTAGTAGCCACCTCAACGATACCACCACCACCATCAACATACAATATACCAGCACCTACGTTCACACTACCAGCTGAACCACAAGCAGTACCATTCTCCCCACCGATACCGGCCTTGGATCAAAAGGTACACATGTACGATCGTGGAGTACCCTTGGAAGGGCCTAAACGGTAAAGATTACCAATCTCGACGGCTTTATGTTGTTTTTATTTTACTGATCACAATATTTCATCAAACCAGAGATCTTCTTTTCTCAGCCGCACGCGTACTAGACAAGGACGATGTTGAAGGAGTCATAGCACACACGGAAATGGCTAGATTTGCATTGTTAACGAGAGCACGAGAAATAACACGTGCACGAGGTGGTGGTAAGTTCGACGGGAAGCATGTTACCAGTTGAGAATGTCGATCTCACACTTTGTGCCTACACAGTCAGATCAAACCCTCAGTGGCTAGACTCTATGCCCTGTAACATCTTGAAACAACGAGTAAGTAACGGAAATCGTTTGCATATATCAAATGTATCATTTTTGTCCATCATGCTAATTTATTATCTTGTAGTTCCTCGACAATTGGCATCACCCACTGTTCAGACCTGATGAAGCCTGGGTCGATCTTTGGACAGGATCTAGATGTTTTGGCGATCCTCTAAACCCTGCATCGTGGCGATTGACGCCAGGCTTCTTTTCGCGCTGGCCAATGCTGCGTCTGTGACATCTGGGAACAATCGTTGACTTCGTCAAGGTATGATGTTCAAGTTTGAAAAAGTAAACGAAACAGAGCCTCTAACATACAAATCAAAACAGGCTCGATCACATATTTCTAGTCTAATTTCTGTCTTTTTTTCCTTTTGTTTTGATAATGTACATTGTAAGCAACGTCTGGCTATACAAGAAAAAACGATATCTCATTTTGGCCCATACTAATCATCATCTATAAAGTTTTAGATGCTGAAAATGCTGTCCGTACACACTTTTCTGACCTGGTATTGTTGCGAGACATGTCACGATGCCTTCTGGCTGTTCAATCCATAGGTGATGCAGCAAATTGACATCTGTAAGCCTTTCACTCATACTCTTGAGTTCAGATTCATCCGCGACTTCCAGGGTCACTTTTCTCATAGTCTGTATATCCTTCATGTATTCAACAACAGCTTCATGGTCTATATTCTTCCATAATACGGCCGTTGATGCATGAGCTCCTTGAGATATGATGCTAATAAAGCGAAATTCAATTAGAAATCGGTGAGATTGCGGCTCTGCCTCGTATGGCCAGATACTAGGAAGCGATTGAATTGATGTCGTGATTTTCAAGCCATTTCCATACCTGCCAGCAGACCAGCCCAGCGGCTTCTTCAAGTCCTTTCGTATAAGAATCCACATGGATAAAGGCTCCACCACCTCGGCTGTTTGAGTTTGGGCAGATTCTGACATTTTGCCAAGTCGTCGTCCTAGAATCAAACGTTTACAGAGCAGGGTTCGAGTCTGATGATTCGAACTGCTCGATATCAGAGATTTCAGAATATTGGTAACTGCTTACAGAATACCATTTGTGTGCTGTTTCTCGAGGGTTTGCGTCATTGAGCAATACAAGTTCGAAACGAAACAACCAGTATACAGCAAGGCGACTCTGTAATTCAGACTGAAAATCACGTTTATGTCAGCAAGGAATTCTAAATTTGCTTCTATCTTTTGGTCTATTTAATCTAAACAAAGTTACTCGAAGCCTTCCCAGCAATCTTCAGCTCCCCACTATGATGCTTCGCACCCGCAACAGACGCTGACGCCCCAACATCATTAGCTATAGACGCCACCCTCGACAATGAAGCAACCGACGTGCGTTTACTAGCCCCATCTAATTTCGCAGCCATATTCTTCACCAGCTTTTCCATCAACTCCACATTCGACTGTTGCAACTGACTACTCTTCCTCCTCTCATCAGCAACCATCCGATTAGCCTCCTCAAAAAGCGACTGCGTCAATGCTTCAAGCTCAGATATAATATCGTCCCGTTCTTCAATCAGTTTAAGTCGTTCTTCCAACATGACTGTCCACATTTGTTCTCGTTCGTGTAGCTCTTCGGTTAGGACGGCGTTACGGCGTTTCAGGTTTGGGATTTGGGATGCTTTTACGGTGAGGGCCGAGTTTATTTGGTATGTTTGGGCTAGTTGGGTTTTGAGAGTCCGGGACTCTGATCTTGCTCGGATGCATGCTTCGCATCGGCCTGTGCCTACTAGGAGTGTGCGGAAAAACCAGGACCATGACGATCTAGAGTGTTGTGTATGTGGGAGTTCTGGTGTTTGTATTTCACTATTTGGTGCTGCTGGTGCTGGTGATGACTGTACGGATAGATCGCCACTTGAAGTGAGAACAGATCCCAGTTCTGGAGCACCTTCTACTACACTCGTAGGTCTAGACGACGTTGGCGTGACTACCGACGAAGACGTGCCTCCTCCAACCAACTTTCCCTGACTACTCCACCCTTCTCCACCACCTGAGATCTTTTTACTAGATAGACCACGATTTAATTTCTTTCTTTGAATTATAACTGTATTATGATCGTCCTGACCACCATTGGCAGATGGATAACTTGGTGGTCGAGAATGTCCTCCTAATGTCGCCGTTAATGAAGACGACTGACGACGCGATATAGGAGCTGGTGGTGGTTTTATGGCAGTGTCATCAAATATATAGCTTGGTCGTCTTATTGGTGATCTGGATTCATACTCTGCCATTGGTATAGATCTAGTGAGAAACCAAGTGTTATTTTCATTGTTGGTTAAATTTGGTGAGAACTACGGCGAACGACGGCGATACATAGAGGATTAGTCATGTAGTGTAAAGATCTGAGCCGCACGCATACTCACTCTCTTTAGAACGCCCCTTGTTGTGGTGAATCTGGCGAAAGTTTGCTATGAGGAGTTGCTTTTGTTTTGCGGAAGAAGAGCAAATCAACATCCCATCAACATCCAGACTGGGATCCAGATTGAATGAACGAATTACGAACGTGTTTTGTGAGGCTATGTATTTTACTTTTGTTTAAGAACACAACTAAGTTTTTGGATACGAGACTTTGGGTTAGCTTTTTCTATGTTTTAAAGATTCACGACATTTTTCACCCAACCACAGATATTATTTAGGCACCTGTACCTCTTCTGACAGACCACTTTACGCACCAGTGGCACCGCGCACCGACCAACGAGTAGCATACATCTGCAACCCTGATATGTCCGGGTTGTATCTAACAGGCGAACCTAAAACAGAATCAAACGTCAGAAACGAATACATGGATGATGCTGGAAAGTCCCAAGCCCCAAAAGTCACACTTACGCATGCGAATAATAATAGTCCGAACAATGGCATATACGTATAAGAGAATTCCAAATCCAATGGGGATGAGCCAGAAGAGAGGCAACAAGTGGTATTCTGTTCCGAAAGCAATGTTGAAGGGTGGAATATAGACGATGGCCAAGGTGAAGGTGGCACCAGCAGCCAATCCATAGAAACTGTACTTGTTCTACAAAGGTGAGAGACCGGATGTAAACAAGAGAAAAGAGACGCATCCTGATCGACCATGAGCACGTAAACAGGCCACTTTCAAGTAAAAAGATGGTGCCAAAGACTTACTGCAAGCATGAAGGATCCCCATGGCAGACCAAGTCTGGCTTTACAGATGAAGTGGTTGAAGGCTTGTTGGAACATGATAGCGAGATAGTACCTATAAAATGCATAGGTGAGTATAACGTTTGTTGTAAAGAACACTGACTACAAATCACATACATGGATTGACCGTAAGCCAAGGAAGTGTTTTGTTGAGCAGAAGTCTATGAAAAACATGGACGAGTCAAGGACTGCCCCAACTCTTGATTGTAAAGCATTAACAACTTACGAGAATACCACCACGAGCAAGAGGAATATCAGCTTTACCCCAATCTGTAGCATTTTGTTGAAGATCAAACGGAGTGATTCCAAAGTAGTAATACTGGACTACAAAGAAACTGACAAAACAACCAATGGTTTGGATTGTTCCAGCTTCGAGATATGCCCAGGCGAGAAGCGATTGATCTACTAGTACTTCCTCTTCCTTGTCTTCCATCAGTTCAGACCAGTATTGACGAGTAAACATTCGTTTCATTGACTTCAAGTGGTGGATGGTATGTTCAATAATTCCAGGCTTTTTATCAGCGTCTGAAGCAGAGGCTCGAAGTTTACGTCCTTCATCTCGGCGGAAACGAGCAATAGAGGCCGGCGTGACAGGTTTACGAGGACGGAGCTTCATGAGACCTGTCTTCGTTTCTGCTGGATCGAAAGCGTACGCTAGAGCAATGAATAACTCGAAACCAAGACTGTTGATACAAAAACAGTGTTAGCGCAATTGGGACTAGAACGAAGACAGGTTCTGCACAAGCTTTGGACTTACTCGACAACGAGAATGAGGACTGATGACAATGGCAGGGGTAGAGGAACCAGTAAGAAGAACAAGTTGGCGTATACTAAAAGTACATTCTCTGTAAGTATGTGAAAACAAAGTAGAAAGAGGACCATGATAATATACCTTCGGGCATAGTGTGGGTGACGGTATATTGGATAGATTTCTAAAATTTCAAGGAGGTGCGTAAGTAGGTGTGACGACGTGCTAAACGAAACAAATTCTACAAACACACCTTCAAGTTTTGGAAGATGAGACGTCCTTCTTCAATACCATTGACACAAGAGGCAAAGTTATCATCCAACAAGATCATCGCAGCAGCCTCCTTGGATACATCAGAGCCAGATTGATTCATAGCGATACCCAAATCAGCCTTCTTCAAGGCAGGACTGTCATTGACACCGTCACCAGTGACACCAACAATTTCACCGCGAGATTGAGCTCGTTTAACAATATCCAGCTTGTGACGTGGAGATGTACGAGCAAAGATGATTTCACGCTTGTTAAAGACACGATTCCAGTCTGCATCAGTCATGGAATCGATCATTTCACCGTGGATGACAATGGCATCATATTCATCTTCCTTGACTGCTTCAATTGCTTTACCCTTCTTAGCTGCGACCATTTCACGAGTGTCTTCAAGCATCAAATTGATTTTGCGTCCAATGGCCTCGGCTGTTAGAGGATGATCACCAGTTACCATCATGACACGGATACCGGCTTCACGACAGTGACCAATAGCTTCACGGACACCATGCTTGGGTGGATCTTCTAGAGATATGAGACCTAGCGGGAGAGACAAGCAACAGTTCAGAATAGTTGCGTTCTGAAGACACACAACGCCAAATGGAAACCATAACAGGGAAGAGCAAATTAAACTAGACGCATACCATAGAAAGCAAAGTCCTTAGAGGGGTAAGTTGGTGGCTCTTTAGTAAATTCAAAGTTGGCAGGAAATTCGGTACGCGGCAATGGTAGTGCAGCGAAAGCTAATACACGGTGTCCTTTTGATGCCATGAACTAAATGTGTTTGATGATATGTTTTCTTATGAGCTCCAATAAAAAGATATGAAAAACGTAGTTAAGAATGGACAGACCTTGTACATTTCATCGAATTTGGCCAAGTCAGCATCAGTGATGGGAACGATGGATTCACCATTCCAGATTTGATTACAGAGCTTCAAGATACGTTCGGGAGCACCTTTAATGTAGAGCATCAAATCACCCTAAAGTTTTTTTTGGATTAGCTTCACAAAAGTTACGGCTAGAAACAAAAAAACCAATTGAAAAAGAGCCCACATTAGCATGAGCCTTTTGATGAATAGACATGTGCCATTTAGTTTCAGAGTTGAATGGAATCTCAAAGACTTTGGGGAAAGTTCTTGGCAGACCATCAAAGTCAGAAAGCTTCGTTGCTGCACATTTGAGTAAACCAGCTTCAGTGGCATCACCAACTACTTGACGTTGATCGACTGGGACGTCGTCACGATCAAACTTGGCTCTACTACACAAGGCAGACATATATAGAAGCTCCTGTACTCCTGATGCACCGACATTCAATGGTTCAGAAGTTTGAGATTCTGCTGAGCCTGCCGCCATATCTTGGGCATAGTATCGAACACCCCCGGTCCACATATAAGTGACAGTCATTTGATTACGGGTGAGAGTTCCAGTCTTGTCTGTTGCTAGAAGGGTAATGGCACCTAGAGTCTCTACTCCTTGCAAATCCTTTACAAGAACGTTCCTGCCAGCCATACGTTTAGCAGCAAATGTGAGCAACATGGTCACTGTCGCAGGTAAACCTTCAGGTACGAACGACACGAAAGTACCGATAGCAAAGTTGAGAGAGTAACTAACAGCATATAGCAAGAATCAGTAAACGGCGATTCACATAAACATCATAAATGAAATAGTGGGGAAAATGCTTACGAGAAGCCGAGGCCTTTGCCCAGTAGACCAATCAAGAAGAAGATGATGGCAACAACACCAGCTACAGCAGCAATGATATGTACGAAGGCGTCGATTTCACTTGACAATGGAGAGCTTCGACGTTGTTCGTTAGAAGTCAATGAGGCGATTTGACCAATGACGGTGTAATCACCAGTTCGAATGACAATACCATATCCTTCGCCGTTAACAGCAAGAGTACCATTGAAGACCAAGTTGTGGGCTTCCAAGGGTGATGTCATAGTGTTGTTCTTATTACGTTCCTGTGGTTCAGCTTCTCCAGTCAATGAAGAGTTGTCCACCTTCAATTCAGTTGAGGCAAACAAGATGACATCGGCGGGGACCTTGTCACCCATCCTAATGTAAACAATGTCACCCTTGACTAGCTCGACAGCAGAGATTTGAGCGAGCTTTCCGCTACGGACTACATATGACTTGGCAGGGATCAAGTTCTACACGGGAGAGGGATGAGATTGTTGGAACACGCCACATAATCATAGACAAGATGATAGCGCACTTACCAAGAATGATTCAAGGATAGCTTGAGACTTTTGTATTTGGTAGAATTCAATTCCAGCGTTCATGAAGGCAACAGCAATCAGAATGGCACCGAGATAGACGTTTTGGAAGTTGTCAGCAGGCTGTATGGGGAAAAACGAGGTGTAAATATAAGCACAAAAAAGAAGCAGTGAAGCTGCGAGATTGTCCGGTTGATGTAATTTTCGCATGCCACGTCAGCAAATGTAACTTACGTCAATACCGTATAAGATATAAGCAGCGGCACCCGACAACTAGTTAAGCAAGAACAATTCATTTAGAGCTCGATATTCCTTCAGGCTAGGCTCTGCACATTTGATGATCTGGGACTGGAACAAGGCGAACGTACCAACAACATCAAGTTGAACAGGCCAAGCAAGATATCCAAGAAACGTAAGATAACATTCCTCTTCTTTGGTGGTGATAGCATATTGGGTCCATCTCGCAAAAGACGAGCTTTTGCCTCGTCATTCGATAAACCAGGAGATTCGACTGGATGCGATGAATTTACAGCTGTTTTGTACGTTGCAAGGACTTCATCAATTGGCATCAAGTGTTCCGTCTAATAAAGATGAAGCTTTGGGAGTTAAAATGTGTTTCCTACAAACACTTCGGCGTGTTGTGATAAAAGGGCTTTGTCAATTGCAAGCTTGATGCACGGTCGTCCAAACGATAAGCTCCGGAGTCGAATGCACAGATGATTCCGGAAGCAATTACAATAACTGCTTGTCAAGCTAGTTCTCTTGGCCAACAATGTGCCAATCTTTTTTTGCAACACACAACAAAACACACTAGATGTTTCATGCAATGCCCCGATAAAACAACGGAGCAAGCAAAGCTTACAATATCAACATGCTTGGTACGATCTGCTTCCTTTTCAGCCGCATCTGAAGCTCCTTTCTTGCCAGCCACTGGTGTGAATCGTTTGGCAGAGATTTTGCTCGCATTGTTGCCGTTTTCCAAGGGTACCGTAGACAGGTCTACTTCCTGTAGTCCTGAATCCTTTCCCGAGCTCATGGCCGTCCTATCCTTTATCAAAGCTTCCGAATTTCAACTCAGAAGAAACTCGACAAATTTGTTGGGGTGTGTGAGGGAAGCTGGAGGGAGTTTCAAGGGTGGCTCTTGATTGCTTGGCCGTTTTTAAGAAACAGTATCGACGTGAAGGAATTTAGAAATCTAAGTTGCCGTCTGATCTCGTTTGTCTGTTCTCTGTATGGAAAATGTGCATCTCTGAAAACCAACCACCTATACTACTATATGCGTTGATCTTGACTTTCGTCACGTCTTTTATCGGGATTTCGCTGGAAGCTAGTCTTTGTATGGATATCGTAATTGTGTACCTGCTTGTTGAGTGCGCAGTGTTGACGTTTTGTTTACGTTTTGGACATTTGGACGCTGGTATCAGTGGAGGTGCTTCGAACTTTAATATATTTTAACATGTGACCTTGCAAAGTAAACAGTTGCGAGTCATGGTATCGTTTATTAGCTATGAGCTCGACTAGAGCAAGACTTGAAAAGATTCCGAGTTTTGCAAACCGCGTCTCTTGAGCAGCACCCCTAACAGGAGCAATATACAACGGGCAGTGCGTTCGAGTTTGATTTTGCATATAACAATCCCAACTTCGTCGTACAGCTCGAAACAGCAGCATTTCTTGCAGACCTTTTTTCACCAGCTGCTACAATAGACACAAGTGTACCACAAGTGTACCACAAGTGTACCACAAGAAGCATCTCTGGTTCGTGTCATTTACCAAAAGCAGGTCGTCGTTGAACCCTGTCACCGGATATATCGGCCAACCGGTGCCCCCTTTTGGTTGACCGAGTGACCACGTCCTGTCTACGTCTGCGTCCAAGACAACAATTGCAGCAAACCTAGTTTATGGTGGTGTAGAGCAAGGACAAGCGGAGGGTATTTGGATTAGCTTCGTGCAGGTGTAGGCCATCTGGGGGAAACGAGTAGGTAGTAGATTGGACTTGTTCCTACCCTGCCTCGCAATGACATAATACATTTGTTGTAGGGGAATTGTCCGGCAGCTGATAGTTGTAGAGAAGGCGTAATCCCGACTAGTGGATAGTGTCGCGATTACCTTTCTTGGAGTTCTTCTATGCTTCCGAGACCGGTTATGAGTGAAAAACCAAACTCTTGGGATTGGAATGCAAATAACGAACCGACCAAACCCCAAATGTTGAAGCAAGAGTTTCCACACCACGCTATTTCACCTAACGATACAATAGATGCAGATACTGACCCTATATCTGCTACTACCGGCCCAGATTCTATACTGCAAGATGCCAATCACGATGAAAACCAAAAGTAAGGTTGGCTTTGGTTGATGGATGTTTTGAAATTTGGAGTCAAGGGATTTAACCATTCCAGTGTCTATGCCCCGAAATGACTTGAAACCAATCAACACTGCCTCCTTCAACATCATTCAACTCTCTCCTAGTCTCAATTACTGTTATGAGCTGATTGTTATACAACAGCCATTCCGAGCCAAAGCTCTTCAAGACACAGAAAGAGAGTCGGGCAAATCTGTCAACCCTCCGATAATACTTCAACTTGGATGTAGAGAGAATCATTCCTTGAATACCGGGTGAGTCCACAATGAGAAAGACCTTAATCATTGAAACTCCAAAGAGCACGTACTCTTGACGATATGCTAACTCCTTTGCCAAACATATGTGCAGCATTGAGAAATTAGGTGACTTCTCAATGCTCACTGTGTCATCAGCTCTGGTGTCTGAAGATGGATTAGATTGTAGCTATGTCTTGACTTTGGCACCACCGACAAGCCCATTGATTTTTGTGAGTGCGCCTCGTATGGAGGACCCTGCTGCTTCCGGGGCCGCGAATCCAATATTGGGAAACACGTCACCTACAAGACGAACTTCCAACAGCGGAGAAGACACAATCCTTATACCCCACTCTCCTGGGCGAGTGTCAAACACATCATCAAAATCAAAAGCAGTGGGGAGAACATCGAATCTAGCACCACTTGTTTGTCTACCTACACGAATGCCCCCAGAGTATACCTTTTGGAGGCCAGATAAAGATAGCGAAGCTCCTCCGTTTAGTGCAGAGAGGTCGCTTGATGGAATGCTTGTCTCTCCTTCTCATGTATTGACTGATTTGGATGGTCGACGAGGTGTTTACTTCGTATTTGTCGAGATCATGGTGCGAGTAGAGGGTACATACAAGCTGAAATTCAATCTGCATGATCTAAAAAGGTGAGCCTTGTTAGTAATTCGACATTTTGCAATCTGCTAAAATTCCCCTATGCTTGGATAGTACTATTGGAAGGGGTGCTTGCCGATCTCTTTCCGAAGCACAAACGAAGACCTTTATATCCTTCAACGCGAGAGACTATCAAACACTTCAACAACAAGGTAAAAATTGACCAAAAACCCCTTATGTACCTGAATGTATAAGATTCTCACAGGATCGTCATCGTAAAAGCCGAATCTTCTGAATTATCCAAACATTTTGCTGAGCAAGGACTGATAATACCGATACGAACCAAGGCTCGAAAGGTCGGCCTTTCCTTAATTGCATGTATTTCATACGGCAATTGGTTTGCTAACAAGTTTCCTTGCAATCACTCTAGAAACGAGGGTATGCAATGCATACTGGTGCTGTCTCTTATACATCGGTGTCGATTCCTGTTTCTATCGAGCGATTTACTCACACTTGATCACATTTACCATCCTAGTGTCTTTACTGGCGTCATTCAAGGAACAGAGGAAACAGAGGAGGAATAAGCTCAAGCAAAACAAAAAAAATATTGTAAACTCTCAATACTGCATAAGGCATATCATTGTATATAGTCATTGTACTAGTACATTTCAACTTACAAACGAAACACGAAACATCAAAGGCCCAAAAACACCTCATTCGTCGTGAGGAGTGGCGGTCGCTTGAGGTGACGGGACTCAAATAGTTTCATTCATGGATTCTACACGCTCTCAAATTAGTACCTTAAGTCCAAAAACCGTGGTCGATGCTGAGCCTCATTTCTCTTGTTTTTGGGATTCAGGCACTGACTCGCTTGACTACTGGCAGTAGGCGATCACGCTCTCACCCTAGAGAGTAACTGCTCAGAACTAGATGGAATCTCATGATCAGCCCCTACCACCTCCTTCCGTTGCTCCCATAGCGGTTTCGTCACATATCCACGACATTTCAAGACCATCCGGATCCATAGATTTAAGCCTGCCAGAGCTGAAAAATATTCATGATCAGACGTTTACAAGGCCTTCATTGACTCTTGAGGCCCCCCCACCACCTGTAAAACCAGCAATGTTACATCACAAAACATTTGGGTTCCTTCCGACGCCTATTGCAGCTCAGTATGATCCAGCTACTTTCGTGCTCAAGCCTATTCATTCTGTGATTTTTGCACTTTCGGCACTTGTAATGGTGGCTAATCTGTGTAAGTCGTCTTTTGATCATGAAAGGAAATGGAACAAAAAAGCGTTCGTTAGCAAGTTACCAACACTCCTTTCTCCTCGTAATCAGATTACAGTCAACCGATCTTGAACGATATAGCTGCCGAGTTCGGGATTTCGGAAGCTGAAGTTGGACTAATACCGTCGCTGTCCAAGTAAGCTCACTGCCATACAAACGCTTTTGAAATCACACATTGACTTACTCGTCCTTTTGTAGCTATGGATATGCATGTGGCCTGCTACTCCTAGTACCTACTGGCGACATACTACCACGGCGAGAGCTCCTGCTAGCACTAGGCTCCGTGACCTTCTTATTGACCGTTGGAGTAATACTCGCCCCAAATCTAGCGGCTCTTCAAGCTCTGAATTTCGTGATTGGCGTGCTTACATGCGCTCCTCAAATATTGATTCCGCTCACAGCAGATCTGGCTCCTGACGACAAAGTAAGTGAATTGGTCCTTTTTTCGCAAATCTGACACGTCATCTCTTGTTACAGAAAGCAGCATATGTAGGCTGGACCATATCTGGTCTAATGGCAGGTATTCTATGTGGCCGAATCATGTCTGGAATCGTAGCCCAATTCATATCTTGGCGTTACGTATACCTCGTTGCAGCTTGTCTGAATGGGACATTGCTCGTCGTCCAATTCTTCTTGCTCCCGGCTGTACCAGCTCCTCCAAATCCACCGAATTACATTCAAATGCTGTGGTCGATGGTGAAACTATATAGAGAGCCGATATTGGTGCAGAGTGGGATTATTGCTATGATGACGTTTGCTGGATTTACCATCTTTTGGACTACTCTTACGTATCTATTGCACGATACGTACCTGTACCCACCTTACGCAATTGGAATGTTTGGATTCTGTGGGCTTGCTGGGATCTTGGTAAGGTCTTGGACATGTGTCTCGTCGTCATTGCAGGGGTTTGCCTTGTTGACATGGATTTGCTAATGCTTTAGAATTGTTGACATGCATTCGCTTATTATTTATTGTAATCGCAGGTGGCTCCTCTAACAGGAAAATTCGTGGACAAATGGGGGTCCTATCTGAGTGTTTTCATTGGTCTGGTGATGATCATTGTAGCATATGCTTTACTTATGGGTACAGCTGAGTTGAGTGTAGTAGGCGTCGTCTTTGGTGCATTCTTTTTGGACGTGGGTGTGGGATTCCGGCAGGTAAGAGATAACATAAAACCAGAATTATCTGTCGTGTTGATCGTTCTAACAGTTTTGTTTCAAATTCAAGATCGGCAATCAGACAAGAGTGTTTGCTATAAATAAGCTTGCTAGATCAAGGCTGAACGCATGTTACATGCTCATGGTATGGAAACTCTCCAAAATGATGCGACACTACATTCATGTAACTCACCAAACCCACGTTCTGGTCATTTCTAGTCTTTTTTCGGAGGCTCATGGGGCTCAGTGGTAGGATCAACTGTATATCAATACCACGGGTGGAAGGGCTCCTCGCTGTTATGTATTGTCATGACACTCGTAGCCATGGTGGTGCATCTAGCGAGATTCCCGAACGTGACAGGGTGGGTCGGCATGTACGGTGGATGGTTTAGCAAACCAGTTATACCGACAGAGGAAGTAGTTGTAATAAAAGATAGATAGCTTTGGTTAGTGGGGTTGTATATTGTGAGTGTTTGCATGTGTAGCACGTTTTTGCCTATGTTTAGAATGGTGAATAGCTTAATGAATCCAGTATAACATGCATTGCCAGTCTTCAGTAATCTCCGCTCGCATCGTTTCCAAACCAGGGTGTTCAAAGGCGGTTTAGATGTTTAAATTTAGAATTTAGTAGTAACAGAGGTACAGTGCAAATATATAATATAATACAAGATGGTTTTGCAAATTTATAATGTGTGTGCTTTAGTCAACCGAAACTGAATCATCATCATCCCTATTCAGCAACTCCTCTTCCAACAGTGAGAACTCCGTTCCATTCGAGCCATTATTTGACGGTGTGCTTTCAGCATTGAGGATGTCCTCTGCAATCGAGTCACCAGTTGATTCTGTTATAGATTCAGTAGCACGGTTTCGTGGTGACGATATAGCAGGAGTTTCGACCAATTCCCCGTCATCATCCTGATCTGGCACTATATGGTCTTGCGTTCTATTGTTATAATTGTTACGAGGAGTTGATGAAGATCGTTGTTGTAGTGGCAACCTGGTGGGAGTAGTGGTGGTGGAATCTGTTGTACTTTGTTGCGTACTGCTAGGGCTGACTGCGGCTGGAGATGGTTCTACAGGAAGTGCTGTGCCACGACGAGGCGGTGAAGATACTTCAGCAGCTGAAGCTACAACCTGTTTCCTTTCGGCTTCTTCATCTGTACTACTGCCATTAGTTCCAGTTGTATTGGTTCCTGCTATTGTAGGGGTGAATCGCGCTGGTTGTTGCTCCTGCTGTGGCTTATGTGCTTCACTAGTCGTTCTAAGAGCAGGTATCCAATCTAAATCATCGGTTTCCTCATCGGTACTTGAATTGTCCAGCCTCGGTTTAATTCTACCATCTGGTAATCGACCATCATCTTCAGCTGGTGGTTGAGGTGGTCGTGACGGCTGCTCTGGCGTCGATGGAATAGCTGGGAATACTTTATGTAATATCCTCTTGACTGCTCTCCAAACTACAAAAGCCCAGAGAGACTCAAACATGAATATCAAGGACGTAAAGAATACCCCTGTAGTTATAGACCAGTGATACATGTAGTATCGTAGGCCCACGAAATGAGCGTCTAATATCAATTGAGCCTGGTATATACGTAATCTAGAATCCGATAGTCGTAGATGAGCCATAAGAGATGGCATGGATTCATCTTCTATCAATCGTTCAATTAGAACGACATTGATGGTTTGCGCTTCTACAGCCATTCCTAGCAGTATTGGTACGGATGATAATAGGGTTGACATGGTGTTTATGATGTTGGACTGGAATGTCATCAGTGCCTAATTAGCACAAGGTTCAAATAAGGTTTGAAGGGCACAAAGAGCAACAAACTGCGAGACTGGAAGACAAGTATACTACGTACTGGTCTGCTTGAAGATGAAATGAGGGATTTGTTGTGAGAGTAAACATCTATGGATACCATAAAGTTTCCCAACTCCAAGTTATGCTTCGAGTTTGGGGCGATCAGTTGGACAGAGAGACGGTAGTGCTGTCCCGCTGTAAGCATAGGCGCCTAAATACATGTTTGAACTCAGTCAATAGTGTATCACTATACGTACTGCTTCAAAGCTCCAAGCTCTTACTGAAACTTGACTGAGTGGATCGCTCAGAAGAGGAACTAGAGCGGTCGGCTGCATGACTTCTGTTGGATTTCTATTTCAAATGAGACAAGTTAACAGAGGATTCTTCTAAAGGCAACGCAGAAACAGCAACAGCTAGTGATACCCATATTGGAAGTAAACAGGCAAGATGTGGTTGACTTGAGGAACATAAGACAAGTAAACGACCATGTACAGGACAGATGCGGCAGCAATTCCAATAGTAAACAAGAATGAAAAGGCTATGGTCGAGTATAGTGCTCTCTGGGTTTGTTGACTCGTGATGACTTGGTAGACTTGACGAAAGTATGGTTCCAGAGTATCTACTGCCGAACTATTGGAGGCAGGAGCCGATGCAGACGACACTGTAGAGGCGGCATCTCCATTCCTTGGTCCGTTCTCCATGCTGCACTGGCTTGCTTTGGGTAGAAATGTACGAAATCACGAATTTTCAACCAGAGTTGCTTTTATCGCATAAAACGCCAGTGCAAAAGATTAATTCCATCTGGATTTTTCGTCTTTATAGCATTTCCTATCTCCATTTTGCATTTTGCTGACGTGTGTGCTGTCGCATCCGACGTAATATGATCCAACTTGTAGAGTTTCCCAGTTCGCACTTGGATGAGTTAACGTTGATTTAATCTCAAAACATGGAATCGAATATACAAGCAAACAAGGTGGTCATCCCTGCATCATGAACTTTGGCTCAAAAGATCTTGATCGGCCGGTGCGTATCCATCGTGTGCTGTCTATTGATTATCGTTTGGCTCAAAAGCATCCGATTAGAAATAAATCAGCTAAGCTTTTCTATGAGTCTAACACCATTATGCAGGTTCCTGCTGCTATTACTGACGGTGACGGTGTCTGCGCGCATAGAATTATCTGATTCATGAACTGAAGTTTCCTCGTTCCAAAATCGTTCTTGCAGTAAGTAGTGTATATACAAACGACACATTTCAATGCTTTGTAGTAACTTCAAACACCCTCTAGGGCGATTCTGCTGGTGGTGGACTAACACTAGGCGCCGGGTTGTTTCTTCGTGATCAAGGCATCCCACTTCCTTCAGGTCTTTGCTCCGATGAGCCCTTGGCAAGTTGCACTTTCTGGTCAGATCCTTAAATTTCTCGACTAACAGTTTGTTTTAGGTGTGACATATCTGGGCACTCGCCATGCTTCTATGTAGACGATGAATTGGCGGCAGACATTCTTCCTCAAGGTCCAGCACTCAACATGGCTGGACAACAGTATGCTGCTCAACCTTCTCATATGCAGCTACCATATGTATCTCCTCTGTACGATACCCCATCCAAGACCTCGCCTTTACCACCATTGTTCATCACCATAGGAACAGTGGATAGGTTTGTTGCAGAAGTACTCGCTACCTTTCTTAAACGTGCTGATGCTGGTGAGATTTGTGAGCTGTATATCTTTGAAGAACAGATTCACGTGTTTCAAATTCTGCCGTTTCTTCCTGCTACCAGTAAGAGCATGGATGTTTTGTCTCATGTTTGATCTTGTTCTAACCATGTTTCAATCAATGGTTGTTGATAGTACATCACTTGATCTTGAAGTCGAGTTTGTTAAGAGGGTCACTGCTGGGATTCCTATTAAGACTGCTGTCTTCATATGGTCAGGCCAGAAGGCAAGACTATCGAAGAGCTCACCATACAAGACGTTCGAAGCCGATTGGCTTCCTTCGTATCTCGAGGACCAAAGGCTGTCAATTACGATCAAGACATCTTGAAAGCTTTTGCTTTCCGTTCTAAAAGGTGGTTAAATATGCCTCCACTGTGTGAACTCAATAAATCTCTGGACGCGTTTCAAAGTTTGAAATAGTTCTTAAATCGCTTGAATGGCTTGAATAAGCTGATGATATGATAGAGCGTCCCGTTGCGGTGCACTCCATCGTTTTAAACTTGCCACCAGTTGACTGCTTCCCATGTAAGCGAGATTTAAACGCAAACCTACAGAGTAACTCGTTAACGGTTCAAACTATGGAGCAACCAAAATATCCAGCATCATGGTCAATGTTCCAACGATTTTTAGTAAAGCAGTAAGTCCCGTTGGAGGACTCATCGTCGCGCTGGACGCACCTTGTTCACTAATTTGCCGTTATGTAGGATTCAAGAAAGCATGAAGAGCATTGGCCGAAATTCGGGCCGGAAATCTGTAAATGACAACTAGCAATACATCGTCTTTTCATTTGCCGTTGCTGATTCTCAACAAATTCTACCAGGCTGCTCCACAATCTGAAATAAATCACGCTCTTATGTCGGTCAAGGCAAGATTTCCCGTAATTCTTAACCGTACAGGGCTCTGCAACTCATATCAAATCTGTAGGCTATTGAATGGCTGCTTTATTTCTTCTGTCTCATGGATCGCTCAAAAATCTCAAACCTCGCTCTGTCCATTACACATTTGACGATTCCACGGGTTCCTACTATCGGTTTCGAAAACAATGTCAAGGGTACATTCTCCGCGGAATGGATTGTACCTTCTGGTGCTACTGACGATACTCCAGTCATCCTATGTACGATTATTGATTTGAAGGTTGAACTCATACCAAGACCTCTGAGACTTACCCTGCGATTGCAGACTCCCACGGCGGAGGATATGTAGTAGGCTCTACATTGACTCACAGGACGATTACAATGGGTCTGGCAAAACGTGGGGTTCGAGTCCTGTCTATCAATTATCGACTGAGTCCCAAGAATCCAGTAAGATCAATGTTAATGTATTGGAGCAGATTAGCAACTCATTCTCAGTGACTTGCCACTTTTTTTGCAGTTCCCTGCGGCTCTTACCGACGGTGTCTCTGCCTACAAGTATCTACTTACGGAAATGAAGATTCCACCGTCGAAAATCGTGTTGTCGGTAACTACCTGCTCTTCACACCTACCTAAAGACTTTTCAATTTACTTTATTTACTTTATAGGGTGACTCGGCTGGTGGAAATTTAGCATTAGCAATAGCTATGTTTTGCCGAGATCAAAGGATACCAATGCCATCAGGAATCGCACCATTAACTCCTTGGTAGCCAGCATTTTCGCTTTTAATACAAAGCAATCTGATTTAATGGCGGTGTTGCTAGGTGTGATCTGTCTGGAAACTCGCCATGCACCTTTATAGAGGATGAGTTTTCTGCGGATATTCTGTCCGGAGGCCGAGGATTCACAGCCCTTGGAAAGCTATACGCTAAAGTACCATCGTACATGAGTCTGCCATACGTGTCTCCTATACATGATATTCCTTCAAAGGCAGCTCCCTTGCCACCCATGTTCTTCACAACGGGTACTGTCGACAGACTGGCTCCTGAAATCTTTGCCATGTTTTTGAAACGTGTTGATGCTGGAGAGACGTGTCAGCTGTATATATTCCAAGACCAGATGCATGCGTTCCAATTACTGTCGTTTGTGCCGTCATCCAGGTACGCTGCATTTAGTATACGAGGTGAAACAAACCGCTCTAACTTTCCCTGCTCGCTGTAGTACGGCGCTTGATTTGGAAGTCGAGTTTGTAAAAAAGGTCACTGCAGGAATTCCCATACAGACTGCTGTATGCACAGTAATGCCAGATGGACAAAGGATCGAGGAACTCACTTTAGATAATGTTAGAAATATGCTGAAATCGCTTATAGATCGTGGGACTCGTGCCGTCAAGAACGATGAAGTGGCCGTAAAAGTATTTGCTCCATACGTACAAGCCATTCGTTCCAAACTTTAGAATGTAGACCTGAAATAAATTTTACATGTATTTTCAACTCTCAGGCTGCGATATGCTGTCTAGTTTCAACAAAATGGGCGGGTAGTACTCGCATGATAGCCAAATAATCATATTTCCACGTGGATACAGACAACAAAATTATCAACTATGTGAGGTATACTATATAGATTCCTGTTCCTATTCGAGGGTATCAGTCGATGTGGCATGGAACATTGGGTTTACATATACTGGTCCAGCATTTGGTGAATTAAAGACGTTCCTCTCATTCCTCAACAGGTCTCGTGAACTGTTTTGTGCAGAATACAAGTTGACCCTACTAGGCTGAGCGAATAAACTATGCGATGATGACAGGGCATTCAAATGAGCCAGTCCTCTGCGATCAGCACTACTAGATCTACGTCTCATGAAAAACACGGCAGCAGCTGATCCGACCACAACAAGACCGCCAGCACCACTGGATACTGCAATCAGGTTTGTAGTATTTGAGAAAAAGTCCGCGATTCCTCCATCTGGTGACGGGCTTGGTGTTGCAGTTGCTAGTGGTAGAGATGTTGCGGCAATGTTCAGGGTGGAGCTGGCTGTTACGGTTGCTTTAGAGCTGGATGATTTCGGTGATGCTGAAGGCGAAGCGGTCTTTGATGGGGAAGCAGAGCTTCGTGTGGCAGTCTGAAAGACAGATAATTGTTAGATTCTGTAGATTCAGGTGTTTGGCAAATGAACGCAAAACGCTCTTACCTGAGATGACGAGCTTAGCGCTCCTGAAGCCAATGCTGACGGCGCAATAGAAGAAGCTGGTGATGCCACTACTGTTGAAGTTGTGGTTGTTGATGACGCCGTAGGAGACGCAACGATGGTCGTGGTGCTTGGTGTAACAGTAGAGGAAGGCGCTACTGTTGAACTGATTTTAGCAGAAGACAGTGCCAGTGTCGTGGTTGTCGATGTGGTGGTTGACGAGGGTGTAGGCGAAGGTACGATGGTGGTGGTGATTGGTGTTGCAGTGGTAGACGATGGCACTACTGTTGAGCTGGCCTTGGGAGAAGAAATTGCCATCGTTGTGGTTGCTGATGTGCTGGTGGAAGATGGCATAGGAGACGCAACAACAGTCGTGGTGCTTGGGGTTAGAGTTGTAGTGGTGCTTGCTTTTATCGTAGTAGTAGTGCTCGTGGTTGTTGAAGATGGTGTTGGAGATGGAATGATTGTAGTAGTACTGGTTGCTACAGTGCTTGTCGTGCTTGCCTTGACAGAAGTTGACGAAGTACTGCTGGCAATTAGTGTGCTAGATGACCTAGGTATACTCGTGGAGCTTGCGGTGGCTGAATTGGTGGTAGTCGCCACTGTTGTTGTAGTTGATGACGGTGAGGCAACTACAGTACTAGGAGCACTGCTAGAGCTTGCTTTGATTGAGGTGATGGTAGAGGTGGTCAAAGTAGTGGTAGTAGAGGTAGAGGGTGATGCCGCAACGACCGACGAAAGTGTGCTCGCTTTGGCTGACGTTACTAAGGTCGAAGAGGGAATGATGGTCGTTGTAATCAAACTTGTGGTTGTGCTAGCTTTTACTGACGTGGTGGTGCTGTTTGCATAAATCTTGTCAGATTCCAATACTTGTTTCGAAACATCACACTTTGAATAACTCACGTCGCAGGAGAAGATAATGCCGGCGAGGCTGCAACTGTAGAGGAAGGAATGATAGTAGTACTGGGTGATGCGGTTTTTAACCTACAAGAGTTTTCACAAAAGAGAATACATCGGTTAGCTCGACAAAACACGTATCGGTCGCTGCTTCAAAACGACTTCTATGAGTCTAAATACAGTATAAGAGCATTTGAACTTACTGCGAGGCTGTAGTCGTTGTTGTACTGCTCAGCAATAAAGTCGACGGATTTGGCGACGTTGCTACGACTGCAGAGTTGGCCAAAGCACAAAAGTACAGGCCAACCAGTAGCATAAGCGAGCGGGTAATAGCCATTTATTGGTATTGCTTCTTCACGGTTGCGTGCGTATCTTGCAACGTTCTAGCCAACTTCGAAGAATCCTGGAAAAGAACACCGTGACGAGTGAGGGTCGCCAATCAAGAGTTTTTTTAACAACAAGCAGCCGAGTTCTTGCGTCAAGTTTTGGACATAGTGAGTCCCGGCCAGAGTCTTTGGATTTAGATTTGAGGTATGTCGGCCAAATTGTAAAAGCAACTAAAGCAACTTGTAGTTTTAGCACGTTGGAAAAACAAGCAAGGAAGCATATTCTCTAGCCAAGTGTTTAGTGACACGGTACGGTTTTGCTCATAGAAACTGTACGAGCTTGCTCCGAATGTATTGGTCCTCCCCAAGTGCGCTCTTCACGATCATCCATACCATGTAGTAACATCTCAAAGCTTTTATCTAGATCATGAATCCACCACCGAAATCATGGACGCAGACCGATAAATTCTTTGCAGCTCAATGTAGAGCTCCGATCAAGACAGCGATTGCAAACAAACATGAAACGTCGCTCAGCAGAACCTTTGCAAATGTGAGGCTCACGGTATTGTGGAGGGATTGGTCGAAGACATCATGTTAATTGTACTTACTTTCCTTTGTAAATACATTGCACAACACGGCACAATAACAAGTACTCCAAATATAGGTTGCAGGAATTCTTCTCAACTATTTGTCCTTGCTCGAGAAACCAAACACTCCGACCACGAGCATTCAAATCAAACAAATCAAAATAAACCGTGTATCAAGCACCTTGGAACCAAACGCGTCTGGAAGCTTTGATGCCGAGCTGATAAGACCTAATGTACCCAAAGGAAAGACAATGGAAGCTATGCCGCTGGTCTTATACCTTCATGGAGGTGGCTTCATTATTGGAACTAGGTTCACTCATCGAGCATTAACTGCTGGCTTTGCACGAAGAGGTCTGCAAGTGCTATCAATTGACTATCGGCGGATGCCTGGGCATGTGTATCCAGCACAGCTGTCGGATTCGTACAGTGCCCTTGTTTACGCATTAAAGGATTTGATGATTCCACATTCTGAGATTATCGTTGCTGTGAGTACTTGGATGATCAAAATGCTCAATAATTTGAAACTGCAACTTTTTTTTGTTGTTCCGTAGGGTGATTCAGCAGGTGGAAATCTCGCATATTCTTTGGCAATGTATATCAGAGACAATAAGCCAGAAGATACTCCAGCTGGGCTCATTCTGATAACACCATGGTACCACTGTAGTTCAGCTCAATATCGTCTACTCTATTGACAAACACAAATCAATCGTAGGGTTGATCTTACAAGCTCATCACCAACAATAATACTCGGTGACGAATTCGACTGGGATGTTCTTGCTGTTGGAGATAAACAGCAAAACACCCAACAGAGACTAATTCGGCATGTGAAGGACTACTCGGGTATGACATCACCAACACACCCTTCCATATCTCCTATATACGATACAGGAAACATCAGCGTCCCCATATTCCAGACAGTCGGTACCGTTGACCGTCTGTATGCCGAAAATCTCCTACTGTATCAGAAAAGAATAGCAGAGTCAGCTGGATTCCAGCAACAGCTATATATATTTAAAGAGAAGGTCCACGATTTTCAGATGATTCCAAGTAAAGCTACGACATTGGCATTGGACTTACAAGTCCAGTTTGTCAAGGATGTAATGTCTGGGAAAGGAACTAAAAGCGGGGCACATGAGGTTGGAGTGGATAATAAGACGATCACGTCTATAACAGATGAAGATGTACGGAAGAGACTAGCGGGGCTGGTTAATCGTGCTGAAATCAAGGATGGAATGTATTTCATGCCTTTTAGCACATCCAGCAGTAAATTAGAACATTAAATAGTGGACCATGATTATCAGTTTATTGGTCTCAATAAAACAGTGGAACTATTAAGTACATTACGCCAAAAGCATGTCTTCATATCGAACTCCAGGTTGGCAAAATCTGGGTTCGTAATCAGGTCGATTTTCAGGCTCTGAAGTAAAGAGTGACTTGCTGCCGCAAAAGCCCATAACACTTTACCCTTCATTGTTTTGTGCACCTCTTGAGTCAGTAATCGAATGGCACTGTGCCTGGCAGCAGGATTGATCATCTCCGGTAATCTCTTGCTTATTCCCTTCATCGTCTCACCTTCTTTCGCTTTGCGTCTTTTGGAAATTGGATTTGCAAGACTGGAAGTGGAATACTTGAAGAAGAAGGAATGTTGTGACGATTGCAGTCTATAAAGCAATGAATTTGTCCAGGACAATTACAAATTCCACTATTGTGTTGTTGGCGTACTTGTTTATCGAGTCGGATGCAGCCTGATCCAAAAGTGCAAAGTGTAGTACTAACTGACTAGTTACGAAGTATACCTCGTAGAGTTACTGTCCTCATAATAGAGCGTTCACGCTTTGCTACTGCCAAGTCTCATTCAGTACGGTGATTCTTTTGATTCGATCAAAAAAGTGGCTGTACGCTACTGTTTGCTACTGAGTAACTGACCAAAAATAAAAGTCGAGAACTCAACTTTCAACACAACAAAAACACATATAACAACCGCAAAAACTCACAAAAGAGAATGACTACTACCGACGAAACGAATCCTCATACTAGCACTACTAGTACTACAAGCAGTACCATGAACAATCCAGAACAAGATGCAGGCGCTACAAAACAAGATAAAGCCTCGTCCTTTGTTCCAGGTACGCTAAGTTGATGATTTTCATTTCATTATGATCAAGTCATCAGTATCTTTGTTTGGTATTGGCTGTTGGAACTGTCGTCCCAACATCAAACATTTAGAACATTTTTGGCACGTGCATGTCATTGATCCCGACGAGCTCTGACACGAACGAAGCACTGAAAGTTATTGCCTTATGAGTATCTTTTCAATGATTGCTTACTAATCTCATCATAACAATCGTTCTATCTAGGAACTGAATTGGATTTGGTTTTCACTTTGGACTGTACTGGCTCCATGTCATCATACATTAACAGTGCCACCGAATCTATCGCCAGCATCGTCACCAAGCTCGTTCAAAGTGAAAAGGCCGATGTTCGCTTTGGACTTGTATGCTACAGAGACCACCCTCCTCAAGACAACTCGTACATTACCAAAATATATGACTTTACCTCTTCAACCTCAGTCATGAAGAAATACTTGGGTGAACAATCAGCTGCTGGAGGTGGTGATGGTCCAGAAGCTGTCACCACTGGATTGTGAGTATTGAGTGCGCTGGCTTACATTTCAAATTGTTCAAGTCGTTGACCATTCGTTTCACACGTTTTCTTTAGATATGATGCATTGCAAATGCCCTGGAGACCAAATGCAACAAAAATCGTAGTAATGATTGCAGATGCTCCTCCTCATGGTATTGGTGAACAAGGTAAGTTTCGCTTCACTTGCCATTACCGATCGCACATAGACGATTGATTGCTTTTATCAACCCAGGCGACGGCTTTCCAAATGGTGAACCTGTACGTAAAGATGGTCCAGAACTCGATCCCTTGAAGATTGCTCGAGATATGCGAGATCGTGGGATCCAAATGTACGTATGCTGCGCATGTGATGATGACAAGTCATACTCTTTACCTCTGTCCGTTGTATTTTGATCATAATGATCGCTCACGTCATTTCCTTTATTACAACAGATTCAGCGTTGCATGTGAACCTGCTTTATCTGGATACAAGTTTGGCGTCGACTTCTTCAACGGCATCTCTCGAATCACTGGTGGTTCCCTCTTGCCTCTCACATCATCTTCTATTCTGCCAGGTATGTTTGATATAGCGGATTTGCTTCTGCCCATCGTTTTTGCCACACTACAGAACCTAATGACTCAAATACATCTGCCGCTGTTTCGTAGACGTAATCATCGGAGGTGCCAAGGAAGCAATAGACATGGAAAAGATGATCAAGGAAGCCACCCTTGAAGCAGAAAAAGCCAGAAAAGAAGGTGCCAAGACTGAAGAAGAAGTCAACAAGAAGGTCTACCAAAAGATGAAATCCAAAGGCGCCACGTAAGCATCAAATTCTGTTTATCGTTCATTCATCAAGTTTTCTGACTCTACTCACTTTTACTTTACTAGTTCTCGTAAAATGCACGTCACCACCCCTTACTCTGAAGAAGCTACAGTCACCATGGAATACAATGCTCAGCAATTCGAAAACTCCACTTCCCTCCGTGATGCTATGACATCTGTACGACCAGTCGTCTCTCGATTACAATCAGAGTCAGTCGATGGGTATGCTAGCAGACGCTCTATGCCAGCCAAAGCTGCTACTGGTGCTCCAGGTCCCGCATCAACAGGCTTCTTTGGTTCCGTTCGTTGGCGATCTGCAGCTGCCGCAGCTCCAGCACCAATCGTTGGATTAGAAGGAGGCTCAGCAACTGACCTGCATGGAGCTGCTGCACAGGAAGTCAAGGTTGCTGAAGAAGAGGTATCTTATGAGGAAGTCAATCGCTACATGAAGCAATCAAACGCCCGTACCACTTTCAACAGCATGAGCAGCATTGCCACTGTAAGGAAGGAATAGTAGATGGGGACTGGTGATTTGATTGGTGTATTGGCAGGGAGAATGCTTTTCATAAATATAAAAAACAGCTCATAAAAAACAACTTGTAAACAATCAGTTGCTCATGAATATAACGCCAATCATATGTAAAGACTTGACCTGCTGTGTTTCTTATTTTCACAGGTTTGTGATTTGTTTCATGACGAGAACCAGCAAGATCAGGGAACAGATCCAACAATTTCCGTTGCGAGTCCAGAGAAGCCACTACCAAAACTTTTCAACAGGTTCAACGTTACCACAGATATCTTTCAAGATTTCGATATGCTCGAAATTTCATTGTTGACACACCGCATTTGGAGGATCCATAGAAAAAGAAGAGGGCAGATACACTTTTACTGAACATGTTTTCATTGAAGATGATCTTGTAGACGGTGTGTGGAAATTTGGATTTGCAGTTACAGAGAAGCTGTGAGACATTTTCTTCTTAGCATGTAGAGAAATCAGTTTCAGAAGCACGTGAATAATATACGAACCTTTTGTTTTTAAAGTTCTTTCTTGTGCTTGTCTGGAATTCAAGACTCTTGTGGACTGCCGTTAGTGGTTAGTGATCGAGTTGTGGAGATAACGAGTGCTGTAGCCCCATCCTCCACCAGTCGCATTGAAATTTTCCCTGGAAACAGAGCTCTCGTTGTAGAGATAACACTGGGGGTAGCCCAATCCTTCGAGAACCGGGAGCTTAATGCGTCAAATAGTAAATTAACAGCAGCAACACCACAGGACAAGGGAGGTAGCGCCAGAAATCCTAGTGAAACAATCGGGGCAATGGATGAATACACACGAATTTCTACCGTGTGTATGAGGTTCGCTTTTCTCCACAAAACAAGATCCTCTGTATATTGATACTCGTTTATGCTTCATTGACCCAGCGATAGAGCGGCGTGGTGAGTTTGTATGGGTGAGTTCAAAAACTCGGAATCACTGTTACTCTTCATGGGTTGAATGTTGACGTGTTGACTTCGATGACAATGCAAACAGAGAGTGACAGAATCTTGATGAGTAAAGCACTCCTAGACAATATATCTTGAGTCATCCAGGTATCTACGAGATGTAATCATCGTAGTTTGTTGGAATTATTTCACACCACCAACACCCAAAGCAACGGAAGGAATGGTAGCATTCAGTTAGCAGCGGTTGGTGCGACACAATTTCTGACAACAAATGAAACGTTTACACACACGAATACCTTCCCGGCAAGTAAGCGCTTCGCTTTTCTCACCAAAACAACGTCGAAAGATAGCATCACAGGCCCAGCGGTAGACGGGCCTCGGCGAAAATGCACAAAAACTCGGAGTCACCTGGAATATTATCCCCCACTGTTTGCAATGTTCTTGAAAAGTTGAATGTTGATATGTTGATGTACTAGATGGGATTGCGAAAAGTGAGTGATGGAATCTTGATGAGACTTGGCAACCGCACTCCGAATACAACTCAACATTCAACTCCGGTTAGGAACTAAGGGCTACACTATCCAGTTCTTGAGTCATCCAGGTGTCTAGGAGATGTAATGGTGATGGTTTGTTAGTTGTGTGCAAAAATGCCGCAAGTTGGTAAAAGACATGATCCATTGACCCACCAGAGTGCCAATATGCATACAGCACATCATAAAGTGGTTTTAAATACAGGACTAGGCTATAAACCCCCTCCCAATATAAAACTGTCTTGTTTGGGTTTAAACAGTGTCAGGAATTTTTCGAGGGGGCAAGCCATTAAATAGTAATATTTGGCGTGGGAGGCAATTTGTGGAGGGAGAGCAAGGACGCATAGGACGTGTTAAAATACTCGGCTAACTTAATGGAGGCATTTCGTCACGTCCATTAATTGTGCAACAAGTCAACCCAAAGTGAAATTGTTTTTTCAATAATAATAAAAGCAAGTACCAAGTTACAGGGAGAAACCTGACACTATTGAGCCAGTACATCGGCCTCGACTTCCGAATATCCAGTGGGGTTGTCTAGATTCGCAATATGATGACTCTTTGCCAGAATTTGGAGTAAAAATCAAACTCCCGCGTCAAGTGAACAAGGACCTTCGAAGTAACAAGGACAAAAAGAACTCAGAAATACTGCTCACGATCTGACCCCAAGTAGTTTTGTTACTACTGCAAGTAGTGCAACCAGCACAGAACCGCAATCAGCAATCTCAATTCTCAATGAAAGTTTCATTGAGTAATGAAAGAGCCGCAAATCCTGCAAAAGCGGCCAGTACGCTGCCCCAGAGAAAAATTACAGGCACGCTGCGATTGCTTGGATTGCTTTCCAACTGATTATGGCAAACGTAGTCAGGACCTTTTTGAGATGGAAACATTTGATTATTGCACTGGCATGTTATTCTGAGGCCTCTTCCCTCATCTTATTGGTTTCCTAAAGATATAGATTTCTGTCTCATACTCAGCACAAATACAAGTAACAAATTGTTGCTCATGATTGTACCGCGAAATGCATTTAAAAAACGTCGAGTGGTGTGTTTCATATTTACAATCAGATACAAGATATTGGCACAAGGATTAAGTTACAAGGAGCGTCAGCCGGGTTAGACAAGTCAACTGATTTGTCTATTGTTACCACGAGTCCTAAACCCAGTGGCTACAAAGTAGTTTTCAGAAGACGTCGACCGTGATGCAGCGGGTTTCTCTAACGAAACCTTCTTAAAGACAGATTCTAGTGCCCGCCGTTGATCTGATAAATCGAGTTCGTATTGAGACAAAAAAAGAACGTCGAAACTACAACTAGCATACACACACCAGTTTCGAAAGACCCCTGAAAGAATTTACACACGAAAGTCCCTCTCTGCTTTAAAAACATCATAGCAGTATCCCTCGCCGTCTCAAACAATTCATTATTCACTGCATTCTCCTTGGCTTTCAGTCCCATTGACGGACACGCCATATCACTTATAACCACATCGACATGCTGGCCATCAGGTATCAGAGCCTTGATTTGATCTCGTGCTTTTGGACACAGTATATCGCCTTGTATGAATGTTGCACCCGGCAGTAGATCGATTGCTTGTAAATCAACTCCAATGACACGTCCAGGCGGTTTATCAGAGGTTGGAGGCTTGTTGTCGGCAATGTATTCGAGAGCGACTTGTGACCAGCTGCCTGGAGCAGCTCCCAAATCTGGTGATTTGCAGAATCAGTGGACAAAAAACAATGAGAATGCATAACCACAGATATGGCTCACCTAGTACAGCCATGCCATATTTGAAAATCTTGTGAGATTTTTGGATCTCGATGAGCTTGAAAGCTGCTCGTGAGCGATAATCGGATTGTTGTCTGAGTTTGACATATGGGTCTCTAATTTGTCGTTCAAACCACTGTTTGGGTGTTGATATTGATGTTCGAGAGGGTGTGCGGGTCTTAAGGCTTGTTGAAGGGGTCGATAAACGCGTGTCCAGATGTAGTAACGAGGGCCATGGTTTCATAGTTGATCTGCTTAAAAAAAGTGTCGAAGAAAAGTGTAAGAAGATTGATGCGAGGAGCAATCAGTGCAGGTATTAAATGTAATTGTACGCTCGTAAATACTGTCAGAATATCACGTACCTTTGTAGTCTTAATTTCAGTTCACCGTTCACCGCAACTTTGACAAGAACAACAAGTGTTGAAAACGCAAACAAGGAATCTGACAACATAAGATAGCCAGGAACAAGAAAGGACTACATTCATCATCTATATAACGTGATACCTATACAATCCAAGACAAGAACGCCACAGAACGGCCCTAATCAACCCATAAACAGTCAAAATGGCCGCATGTAAAACCACCATCACCCTCCTCCTTCTCCTGTATATAGCAACAGCAGTCAAATCTCAAGCAGACCAAACAACTCCAACATCCATCAATAATCTATGCACTCTCCAGATCTCGTGTTTGCGATACGACGGAAATCAATGTGGAGCGCCATTTTCCAAATCACTCCAATTGGATGGCAATGGGCAGTGTATGCCTGAAGTACAAGATCTGACGAATGTATGTCAGCAAGAACAAGGATCATGCTGCCAGAATGGATGTATTGGACGTGTGCTGCCGCTTGCACCGATTCCGTTCGACGTGCAGGAACTGCTGGGAGATGATACTGTACGAGTGCATGTTATGTAGAAGGATTTGGATAGGGGCACTATATCATTCTGGTTATGTGCCATAGTTGCACCATGTGTGGTCGTAAATATCAAACATATAATAGTTAGGAGCGGGAGTAACCCCAAGTCAATTGAGTCAATATTAGTAGTTACAGAGTGCATTATTCCATTTACATAATATATGCTGCTGTTTCATTTACATTGTGTGATTTCAACGTGCTGGCTACTCTGCCTATATGAGCACGTATCTTTCACAGGAAGAGGTCTGAGAAGAAAGCGTCCATATCTTCTCCTCTAGTCTTCTCAACTTCGACTTTGAGTGGGGCAGACCATATTGAAGAGGGATTGGCATCGGTGGTTGATTCTAAGATGGAGGAAAGTGAGCCAACAATAATCAACTCCACCCAAGCAATGGTTATCGCTCCTTTAAACACATACCATCTGCTTTGGCAGCTTTGGCAGCTCTTGAATCTTTATCTCCCTCCTCAGCACCGTTCTGTTCTTCCTCCCTGGGTCGTTTTCGACCTTCACGATCCTCTACACCATTCTCGACAGAAGGGTCATCAACAGCTCCCTCTTCGTCCACAGTCGAATGGGCTGCAATCTTTTGCTCACGTTTCCTCTTCTCCTTGTCCTTTTTATAGTTGAGTTTGACGGAGCAGTCTTTGCAAAGACGTACTTTTACCAATTCGTATTTCTGGACACCATCTTCCTTGTATGCAAACGGGACTTCCCAAGTAGCTAGATGCTGGTTTACGTCACATGATATTGAGCCACATATGAACTGGCCTAGCGTATGTGTGTGCGAGTGTAAGAAGGGCTACCACATGTGTAAGGCTAGGACAACGACAACGGACAAACAGATGTACCTATTCCAGCGATGACTTCCTTTTGAGTCCTCCATCGTAGACCAAACTTGCCTTCCCTGTATCGCGATAGGTCGACAATGGCATACTCTTTCAGTAACCTATCATAATATTTCTTGGCTACTCGGTGTTCCCAAGATAGATCTCTATCATCCTCTTCACTTCTCACGAATCTATAGGGTTTGAGATAGATTGCGAGCATCAATGATCGAAAAGCACGTACCACCTCCTACTATATACATGTCACTGAAATGTTGGAAGACCTACTTGTGATGTTGCTTCAAAACATCGAAATCGGTCTGGGTTTGAAGCTTTGTCTTTTCTACCGATGCACCATAGTATGTTATATAGTCTTGGACCAGCTTCTTGTGCTTGCTGAAGGCATCAGCTGGTATTGAAAACGCAGGCTGAAGTTTGTTCTTGTTTGATGCGCTGCTATTATTTCCTCCTATACGAAGATATGTATCTGCCATCTATAAGAGGAAGCCGATGAAGAATGAGCTCTCTCTTCAGTGCGTGGCCAATATTGATGAAGCTTTCGATCTGAAAAGTTGAACTGTTGTAGTGTTGAGCGGCGGCTGCCAATCCTGTCAAATATGGAGCTCAAAGGGCACGTATCGTGCAATGCATGAGCTGTATTCACATCTTCCAATTTTCTAGCTTGTAAATGTCAGTGACGTGCATGCCTATAAACATTGCTTGGAGTTCGTAGACAAAGTAAACTCAGCTGTACGCGTTGGTTGTTACAGAACTAGAGAAAAATTCGGACAGAGCTGTTTTTAATGGGCATGTATGGCGTCGCAAGTCGCAGAACTATTAAGATCAAGCGAGGGCACGACACTTTTCAAGTTCAATCAACTTGACTTTGAATTTTCGAGATCAGGAACGTGTTGCTAGCCTATATACATATGAGGAGTACTGATATTAACTTGAAATAAAGCTTCCCTGCTAATCTGTTACTTTCAAGTCAAAATTCGTCGCGGACTCGTCGTCTTAAACATTCTAAGCGTTCGTATTGAGCAACTCCCTGGCCATGGACAACCTTCAGTATCGGGTGCCAGCAGCTGCAGAAGACAGCGACAACTTTTCTTTTCATGCCACCGTCGAGGACATCAAGAACAACTCTCCAAAGTCCACTCGCGAATCGTTGGCACCAACATTCTCTTCAGAGGCAACATTCAACATCCCAAGATTACAGAGAGCGAGCTCTCGAACAGATTCTCAGAAATCACATTCGAGACAGAGGAGCTTGGTGAGTCTCTCTATGTGTGTCGTCTCTGTGTGTGCTGCAACATCTGGCGCTCATTCAATTATTTATGTGTGCTTAGGGCTCTCCTATGATTAAGAAGCAAATGGTATCTGGCCCCATTTCATGTACCGGTCAGCATGTTTTGAGCACTCCGTATCGTCATGTATGTCTGTTTTGCTTGCTGAATTGAATCAATGTTGCAATAACACAATCTACGTTATTCAACTAGGCTCTTGTGGGTGAATCAAACTGGGAAGTAACCAATTCTCTTGCTGAACTCATAAAGTTTGAGCAAATATATGTTGAGGATCTCAAGTCAACATTAGAAGTAAGAAAACATACTAGCTGAAGCCATACTGTGCAGAGTGCTCAACTTGAGCTCTACCTCGTAGAAACTTACTACCAAAGAAGTCCAAGAAGCCGAATCCGAATCACTCAATGCTATAGTCGATGGACTCAACAACGTCTTGACTGTCGCCTTGGAATTACAACAAAATTTCAAGGACAGTATCGGCCAATGCTATGGATTCGCGGGCCTATCCGCTTTGGGCGTCGTATTTAAAGACTACATCACCAGCTATCCCGTGTATCACCAAACAGTCGTCGACTTGAGAAGCGATCCTACATTGTCCTTCCACATGAATGGCATGGAAATCGCTCTGATTTCGCCTTTAGAACGACTAGTTCATTACCGTTTCTTCTTTCGTCGAATACTGGCTGTGACTGAAGAAGAGTCTCGACGTGAAGAATTATATCGAGTTTATATTACTATTCAGGATTTGTGTCAACGGGCATACCAAACTGTGAATGTCGAGGATACTTTTGGAGCAATGTGCGCATTGGAAGATGCTATTGATGTATCGGAATGCAAAAACTTTGATGATACGGCATTGACTAGTGTAAGTCCAAATTAATCGTGTACTTGTATCTGATTTCTGCGGCATTACGGTAAACGTGCTTCTGCTTCTTTTAGCGCATTGCTCTCGTATTGATCAAACCTACTGAAGGATTTCCCATTCCTATATGCCCAAAACAAGAGTACTTTGCCGAGTTCCAGAAGATTGATGTGAGTGAAGGGTTGTTTGTGCGATATCAATCATTTTGAATAATATTGATATGCTCCAATAGTACACGTCCAAAGAGCCCGTCCATACATCTTTCGAACAAAAGATTTCGATAAATCGTAAACGACTCTCCTCCTCCTCGTCTTCCTCTGCTATGAAACCAGACCTTATCAGTATCACCGTCTTGACTGATGTCGTCCTGATAACCAAAGACCGTAGTGATCAGCACATGCTTCTATATCCGCCATGGCCAATCTCACAAGTGAAGGTGTTTGAGCATGCTACTGCAGGTGAATTATTCTCATAATTTGAAAGTTAAGTACAATCCACAGCACACTAACCTGCATTCATCTATCTTACAGAAGGTGGAAGATGCACATTCGATTTAAATCTAGGAGATAAGGTGTTGATGACATTGGTGGCAGAATCAGATGAATTGAGAAGAGCAATCAGTAAGAAGATAAATGACTTGAAGAAGGGGCTCGAGACACCACGACTCCAGCGCTGTAAGTTTTACTGTATGGTCTCCTTCTGCATTTCCAAAAGAGCCGTACTTATTTATTTACAATACGTAGTGAGGAAGGTCTCTGGTGATTCACAACCTATATCTACCAAGTTATCAACAACACACAAACAGTCTGGGTCCTTGGGACTACGTATGAACTCAAAACCATACGAGCCCAAATCCAACAGTCTGAGGTCTACAACCATGCCATTTATGAGCACTCCTTTGCATCTCAAAGCTCTCGAATCGAATGGTAGTGAAGTTGTTTTTTATGAGAGGTGTCTACCTTTCTTGTACGTGTCCAAGCAAGAAGGCTGGAATAAGCTTTGTCCTTGTGATATTGGAGTCTTTAGGAACAATGAAAAGTCTTGGTTGGATCTACGGTAAGCAATGCCTCTGGGTGAAAAACAAAACGATTCCTGCCACCTTTCGTACCAATTCATAACCTGAATTGTCTGTCGTACTTAGGGCCGTGCCAACACATCGACAAATTTTGTCCACAATGATATCACCCTTGTCTGCACTCGAGTACACAGATGGTACTTGCAATGTCCGTCTAAATGTGGTAACTGAATATGAAAAGTACAGGTCATACACGATCAAATTTGGAAGATCAGACGAAGCCGCTCGCCTATATATGGTGCTACGTGAGCAGGTCATCATGTCCGTAGTGAATACTTTGAATAATTACAACCAACACGTACTCGTATGTCTTGGTGCTCCAACACAAGAAGTAGCTGTCGAAGTCCAAGTATTGGAGCATTCTTGGATTTCTTCTGGTGACAGCTCCTGGATATCACCTGGACAAGATATGGCCATCCTAGTACCAGCTGAAAAGATACAAATCCCAACCGGTCCAGCTCGTATTGAAGTCTTCCAAGCCGGATCGGGTGTACATCCTTGGGTGAACATCTCCTCAAGTCTGAATCCGTCCGTAACCATCTTCTCCGTGCCATTGAAGCCTGGCTTGATACGCTTCCAACTAGAACCACAATTCTATACCATCAGTGCCAAAATTGACGGGGCCACACACGAAGTGTCTCTGCACTCCACAGACTATAGTCAACTATCCCATATCAACGACGTCTTCCGTAATGTCATGGCAGAAGAACGTCAAAGTATACAAGCCAATGCAGCACAACTCGCATTACGTACCACCAATGATGCCTTTTGTGAGCACACTGAAATCGACTTGGACACGCAACTCGTCCCTCGTGATGGACTTGAAGAAGCATTATTGGATGCAGCTGCAGCTGGTGGTGAAGATACCGAGTTCTTTGAACTGACTTCATATCGAGTGCCACCACAATACGCTGCTGAATATATAGACGAAACTAGTATCAACTTGACTACCAACTTCTTTGATGACGGCTTTGAATTGGACTTGACTGGCTTGTCTCTCCATGAAAGCGATCAATATGATGACGCCGATATGGCTAGTGTTGATGATATAGTCGAGATGGATGAGCCATATGAAGATGCTGCTGTCTTGCCATTAGAAGAAGCTGTATACTCGGATCGCGAAAATGTGCCCCTTATGAATCGTGAAGATTCCGGAACAGCATTATTAGAACCCATGACAGAAGAGCCTACTATAGTAAAAGAAAATAGTGACACCACACTTGACGAACCAGAAAGCAAGGCAGAATTCAAGATAGACTATGATGAAAATACCACCATCAAGAAGGCTGCATTCAACATCCACGACGTACAATATCCTGATTTGGACGGTCACATACCTGAAATACTGTCCACGCTATCAGAAGCCACAATAGTGGATTGGTCAAAAAAGGAATCAGTCTTGTTATGTGAATGTTGTCTTGAAGATGTGGAAAAGGTGTTTGCTGTACATGTTCAACCAACAGTAGCAACGGATAAAGTTGCAGAAGCAGCTGAGAAACAATCTGTAATGTCTCCAACATCTAGCATAGTAGTAGAATCGTCATCACGTCGCAGTAGTAGTATGAAGACATCATTGACAAAATCCATCGGGTCTCTCCCATCCTCAATTGCATCAGACGGTAGCTCGACGTCTCGTAAATCATCCATATCATCACAATCAATACGTCCACCGCTACCCATGAATGTATTACGAACACCAGCACCACCATCGACGATGCCACCGCAACTTATACGCTCTGGAACGTTTTCGTATGCTATGGGCAATACTCGTCGAATTGGAGCTGTTGGGAGAGCTAAGAGGCAAGAAACTGAGAGGGCTCGTAAGGAGGCTGCAAGTGAGAGTGAATTATTGGAAGCTTTGCGACGAGAATATGAGGCGCTTGTACGAGAGCGTGATGAATTGAAGATTCAAAGTCGGGATCTACTTCATGGTCGTCTTGTGCCTATATTTGATAAACGATGATAAAACTTGAGGGATCACGCGATATAGGCTTTGGATACATTTGAAGAGTCTCACTAAGATATTTGCACCTTTCATTTTGTATCAGACGTATGAATTGTTATTTTTAAGTACTATTTTTGTAACAAGAGGCTACCCATTGCAAAATGTCCCAATCAGAGTCTGGCACCAACAAAGGTTTCTGGGACATGTGTCGTCTTGACCTCATGAATAGACCACTTGATCCCAAAGCCTCTGAAACGATCAAATATGGCTGTATCAGCAAAAGCAGAAGCAGGAGAATTTACACCTGCTGGGATTGAACTTTTTTGTTCCAAGAGAGTATAAGCAGAGCAGGCCAATGCAATTGGAGTGAATACGTACTATGAAAAAGAGCTGAAGGTGTTAAGTTCCGAAAATCACCAGGATATGGTTTGACAGTGGTAACACATACGGCAGGTTCTGGTCCAGTAACGCTCATCTTGACAAACATGTTTGGTTTGTTTACTTTGCCGGCGGTTTTGACGGCTGCTGGATCCGAATATCTGGCGAGAAAAAAAGCAGCTTGAGAATCATCCTGAATGGTTTCAATAACGCGACGAGTTAACAAACGTTACCCATTAGCCAGGAACGTTGAAGTGAAGGAGGTATCGTGTATCATCTTCTCGTTTGGTGGACGGGTCTTGCTGAAGATTCCTATTGATTCGAATTCGTTTGGTATATCTAACGACAACAAAAAAAAGTCAAGAACTTGAGAAATACCTTGAGTGAAAAGGTATGGGTAATCCAGTAACAGTTTCCTGCCCCATGTGTATGAAGCTAAGATTGAGTCAAATGCTGCATATCCGACGACTTGGTATACAGTTCGTGTCCATGCGGCCAAGTATGCAGAGAATTCTACTGCTGGAATCCCCGCTAGTGCTTGTGAAGCACTACCGGCTTCGCGATTCATTTGGACCACTTGCTAAGGAAGCAATGCCAAAACAATTAAACTCAAATGACAACACAAAATCCGCGTTCTTCGTGGAGGTTACTCACTTGTCCCATCTTGACACAACTAGCATCAGACCCCGGGAACACCATACACGCAAGCCCAATCCGTTTATCAAAGTGTCCTGGCGTGGAATTTATCTTGAGCTTTTCTCCAAGTCGAGGCAGGTTGGGTCTCACTCCACTCAATGCTTTACGGAGCTTGCCCAGTTCTTTTCGATGGGCGAAACCCTGTACGGCCGATTCGTACGTAGCGTAGTTGAGGGCGAATCCTAGAGGTCCGTATTGTAAAGAATGGAACATTTCAACGGCATTACAAACGCCTCCTCGCTTAGCGAATTCCAGTTTGCAGGCTAGGACACCGAGGTCTGCGGGTACAGAGTCCCATCCGGAAGCATGCACTATGGTAACGCCGTTCTCACGAGCGGCCTTGTTGCAGTTTAGGAAGACACGGTCGTAGAATTCTGGTTCACCACAGCTATTTGCGTTAACATGTAAGTCCCTTTTCTTGTTTGAATGTACGGTAAGATGCATTTTACCAATCGACATAGTCGGCACGTCCTTCAACACATGCTGTAGCTACATTAAGACCAAAATATCTGAATGGTCCAACGGCGTTTATAACGACCTTTGCACGTTTCGTGAAATTCAGTAGCTCATCGTGGCTCTTGGCATTCGCTATTATGATTTCAGGAATCGAAACTCCTGAATTAGGCGCATGAGTTGACTGGATCTCCTTCAATAGATCTATGACGCAAGGTGAAGTGAGAATTTTTTGACAGCTAAATAGAACAACATCGATTTCTCGATACCTTCAAGTAGCTTCTGATCCTCTACTCGAGACGCAATAGCCCATTTGAATCCCTAGCGAATTGTGATGTACATGTGAGCTTTTGAAATTGTGGGGCAAATTCGTCGAATTTGACGATGTACTTGGATGGTAGGAGGGTTTCTGGCGATTCTAGTAGCTGTTCTTCTGCCAGTAAAGCCTAGGAAATTAAAAATTAGTCCGTTACGCGTTGTAGGCTAGAACATTGCTCATCGTCAATGTCTGGAGACAAACTTTCATGGAAAGCATTCCAATGAAGGAACAGAAACGATTATGAAAGAGCGTACCTGCAGCTCCAAAGATTACAATGTCTAGATCCTTGCTCATGATTGAAATGGGGGCGACCGCTATGCGTTATAATGAGAAAATCAAAGTCGTATGTTTGGAAGTTCTAATCGTTACACACGACGGCAACAAGCTCAGTAGTCATTCGCATAGGAAGGCGCATGTGAGTTGAATTTGAGCACAGTTGGAAGTAATCTCTAGATCTGGAACGTTCTTTTTCGTTGGGGCCTGGCCGTGCATTCCTGTGACTTTGGAAGGTGAGTGGTTGACGATATCAATTGCCAATTGTTGTCAAAATAAAGCCATATGGCTGATACACCTAGTATCCGTGCCTGTATGGATGTCAAAAATATAACTTGCTACTCTTCTTCCTGCATTGCTCGGTCGTAATTTGCTTTCACATCAACATCAAATCTTTGGCAGCCCACAAAAATAATAGCTGACTTAGCTTACTTTTCTAAAACATCAGGGCCAGAAACGCCATAAAATTTGGTACACACCCGCCTGATATGACAGTCAACCCTCGAGCGTACCCAATGGCCGCACCAGATTGTCTCGCAAGTCTATAGGAGAAGATCCGACCTTATACGCAACTGCTCTTTGTAGAAAGGCTGGCACCAGGCATCAGCCGGTCTTCTTTATCGTCATATTGATACCTCTGAAATCATTCATCAGTTGCTTGTGGAAATCAGCCACGTCACATAAATCTGCATATTTTCAAACCCATGGATTCATAGTAAAAGTAGATCATTTACCACAATGGAGGGAGTCATTTAATACCATCGAGGGGATTGCTTTGAATGATGAGCATCTCGCTCACATCGTCAGTTTGCCTGTACTTAATCGTCTACATTGCTTAAATGGCCAACCCCAACCATTTCTTATAACTCTCTAATGAAGGCAATACCACAAAGGCCGTCAAGCCGGCCGGCGGTGGTTCTCGGGTGACGTGGAGAGATCGTGTTTGACAGAGAGTATACACGATGGTCTTACGAATGGAGAAATGTGCTGGGAGGTGGAGCAAGCCATGCCGTGCAAGAAAGTAGATGAAGTTGATGAAGTTGGTATCCGTTAATCGCAGATCAGAAACTATGATCTAAAATGCACGTGGGTACAACTCAATCACGTTGCCTAGGGTGAATTTCGCGTTTTACAACAGTTACATGATTATCACTACAAAAAATGTTTACAATATTATAATATTATCTTATAAATCACGTATGCCCTCCTTGTTCAAGTTGTTCCAACTCCTTCAGTGACTTCAACTTTGAAACAAACTCCAAACATCAGTTCGAAGCGATGCTGTCAGCAGGAAAAGAAGACGACGAGCTTGATATTGGGATCGCTACTCCAAAGAAGATAATCAAGCCATACAGTATTTCCTCAAGTCCTGTGGACCAACAGGAGTCTCCGGGCTATACTCCAAAGTCTGCAGGTTCACGATCAGATCGAACAGATGCTAGTCCTGATGTTAGACCTAGGCAGTTTAAAGGTAGATCATCTCTTGTTTCCCTTGGATCTAATGAGTCAACACCCTCAAAGATCCCATCTCCCGTAAAACGGCCTACATCAACCACAACAACACCAAACAGCAAGATTCAGCCAATCCCTGTCCAATACTCGAAGAATAATTATCCTAATGCAAATGCTTCGCCAAAACTTCCAGGTCTGTATCCATCTTCGAATGTGTCGCCTGTCTCCTTGTCAAACGCCGCTTCATCGACTTCGCTTGGCAATCAACAACCTAGGTCAACTCCCGCTCCAAGGAATGGAGCCATTCAATCAAATATAGGCAAATCAACTACAGTAAAGCCTGCTGCACCAAGTCCGGGTCTTGCACAGCCAACATCTAGTAGAATGCCTCAAGCGCAGCAACCAAACAAACCTGTAGTCACAACTTGGAGAACAACCACATCAACAAGCATTCCTGTAAAACAGAATGCTCCTATTGCTCCACAAAATCAATTCCAAGGTGCCAAATATTCACCACGGCCACCAGAAAAGTACATGCCACCTATGCCAGCCCTCAAGCCTCAGCCCATATCTATACCATCTAGCTCGTCTTCACTTGTAGCACCGAAACGAGTTGCTCCCACCGCCGTAGCCAGGGCCATCATCTCAGGGACCGTAGAAGCTGGAAAGCAACAGGACTTGAGAGCATTACTCGAATCGATACCTGATGATGATCCAGAAATGAGAGACGAGCTAGTGATCCCAGAACTAGTTGTGAAGCTGTTGAGGCATCAAGTTGTGGGTATCAACTGGATGAAGGATCGGGAAGAGAAATCAAAGGGTGGCATGTTGTGTGATGATATGGGTCTGGGAAAGGTTTGTTCGCAGCTCCAATCATTTTGAACAGCAACCGTGGAACACTGTTGAATTCGTTCACTCTAGACAATTCAAGCCATAGGATTGATTTGCTCAAACAAGCCAACTTCGCAGAAACGAAGATCAACGCTGGTCGTCTCACCATTGTCAGTCATCAAACAATGGGAAGATGAAATCTTGACGAGATGCAGACGGGGAGCCTTGGATGTACTAGTTCATCATGGCCCTAGTCGAACCAAGAGTGCATCTGTGCTCAAGCAATATGATGTGGTCAGCTTTGGATTTGAATAAGGGATAAGACCAATACTGCGTTTTTTAAACTACATTCGTACTTTTTAGGTTATCACCACCTATGACACGGTTTCTGCAGAATTCTCACAAAAGGCCAGGAAAAAGAAGAATGACGATAGCTCGGATGACAAAGAACCCAACATATTCACTGCCGCGCCTGGAAAAGAATCTGGACCTTTGATGCAGGTTGATTGGTTTCGTGTCATTCTTGGTAAGTTGCAGTGTTTTTAAGTCGCCTTACAATCTGCTGACTTTGCTCTTTACATGATTTAGATGAAGGGCATAACATAAAAAATCACAACACTCAACGCGCTAAGGCTTGTTGTGCTCTCAGTGCCGAAAGACGATTCCTTTTATCTGGTACACCACTTCAAAACAATGTCGATGACTTGGTGAGGATTTCGTTGTCATTCTTTCTAAGGGAACGATTTTCTTTCTCATCGACTTACCATCGCCAATAGTTTTCTATTCTTAAGTTTTTACGAATCAAGCCTTGCAACGACTTGACCACCTTCAAAGTTTACATCAGCAATCCGTTGAATCGCGGTCGATCCAAAGAAGCTCTCCAAAAGGTTCAAGCCATCTTGAAGGCTATCATGCTTCGCCGAATGAAAACCACTCTTGTAAGTAAAGGCCGTTGTTCAACGACATCAGAATAATTCAAACAACTCTTTGAACTTTTACTCAAGGTCGATGGAAAACCATTGCTCAACCTACCAGCTCGTGACGTAAAGCTCACAGCATACGAGTTGGGAGGTGACGAACGAGAGTACTATCTCAGTCTCGAAACCAAAATGCAAAAGAAACTCAAGAAGTATATCAAGGCTGGTCATGTCAATGCGTCGAACGTACGTTCAAGACCTCTATAGATGTAACCTAAACTCCTGTACTCACCGTCTTGTCTGACTTAGGTTTTAGCGATGTTGCTACGACTTCGTCTTTGCTGCAACCATCCGTACTTGGTTGCGTACGAGCCAGATAACTCAGAAGATGTGTTGGCTACAGAGATGAAAAGGGATGGGAATAATGATGATGAAGCCGATGTTGATGGCCTAGTCAACATGCTTGGAAACATGGACGTCAAGACGAATCAGTGCTCCATTTGTCTAGATCCGTAAGTATCGCATAGCTACGACATCATGATTTTTAATTGTGCTAATTGGAGTAGCTACTCATATTAACGTTCGACCTAGAATCGAGCCTGAATCCAAAGACAAGCTTCACTGTTTGGACTGTACTATACGCTTTGTCTCTCATCATGGGAACGATAGTGGCAGCAAATCAAAGAATGGGAAGAATGCTGCAATGTGTAAGGGTTTTCATATTTTGGCGAGATGTTGTTGTGTCATGAGATGCTCATTGGATCTTCGAATGCTTAATGACCTCTAGTGGCTGAGTTGAGGAGGGCCTGGGTCTCATCAACCAAGATTGACGAATTACTCTCGACTTTGGGTCAAATTTACCGTGAAGATGATTCTTCAAAGACCATTGTATTCTCCCAGTTTACGTCCATGCTTGATATTGTTGAGATTCCTCTTGGAAGTCGTGGTTGGGCCTTTTGTCGCTGTAAGTGTCAACGTCACCAAAAAAGAAATGCATATTTGAACACGGAACTCATCACGAGATGCCTTTTCACAATAGATGATGGATCTATGACGTCTCAAGCACGTGAAGACGCTTTAAAGAAGTTCAGGACTGATCCGAAACGAAGGATTCTTTTGATCTCACTTGGTAATTGAAAGCAAAAACACTAGGATTACACTCATAGCTTGCTGACACCTTTTCTTTAAGGTTGTGGTAGTGTTGGTCTGAACTTGACTTGTGCAAACCGTATCGTACTCCTTGACTTGTGGTGGAATCCTGCACGTAAGGGCCTGAGAAGTCAAAGGAATGTTGACGTAATTTGATGCCATGGAATCTGAATTTTTGCATTTTTCAGTTGAACAGCAAGCAATAGATCGTGTACATAGAATAGGCCAAACTAAGGACGTCCATGTCGTCAGAATGACTATTAAGGAGACTGTTGAGGAACGGATTCTGGCCTTGCAGGAAAAGAAGGTAGGAAGCATCATTACTGTGCTCGTCTTTGTAAGCTGACGCTGTTGTGTGTTTCTCTTAGCAACAATTAGTTTCTGCCGTCGATGGTGTTGGCAAACTCAACAAGACAAATGTTCAAGAACTCATATCCTTGTTTTCAGCTACTCCCAAAGATGAAGCGGATGGTGATGGAGAATGGGAAGACGGAGAAGAACTTGTATGTGGATGATGATATGGGTATTGTCACTGTATTTGAGTCATGTTTTTACATATGCAAAGAAATATAATCAATTTACGATTCGCTATTGTTCATGTTGATCATTGGTACGCTGTTCCCTCTTCTTTGACTGGTCTACGCGACAAAAGTCTTTATAAATCCGTATTAATGACCTCCGTGCGTGCAAACTCAAGAAATGTGATTTCAGACGACGTAATGTATATTTTTAGTCACAGTCTTCAAGGCAAGTAAACCTTTGCTACAAAACCCTTCAAATCTTGGCTCCCATACCCCTCATAACCTTGAGTTGTTGTCGAACACCAAAGTCCAACCTAAACGTGACAAAAAATGATGAGCGCTTCCGTTACTCACAACAAGAGTCGAGACAAGACGACATTAAGAACAAAGGGTCTCACATGATCTCTTCTGATCCTCCAGGAATAGCAGCACCTCTGACATCTATTTGCGCAAACATATTGGTGTGAGCATATTGGTGAAAGTTACTAGTGGCTTTATTTCACGAGAAGGCTGTTACCTCTGTAGAGACGTTCGACCTTCTCGCCTTGACCTCCTTTGGTGTAGGCTACGTGACAATTTTCGACGTTAACACTCATGTAATCAGTTCTTGTTGGGAAACCAAGACACTTACCAATACCACCCATTATCTGAGATGCTTCACGAGCGCACTTCAATTGAAAGAGTCAGCCAATGAACTATTTCACTGCATAAAATGTTGGTGGTCAACTTACAAGTTCGAAAGTCAATGAGCATTGGGCTTTCAGCAAAGCGATGGGACCACCTAATAATCTGTCGGCATCATCGTGAGAGAGTTTGCCCCAGTTGTAGGTTACCGATTCAGTCCATGCTTGAGTAGCTAAAAAATGGGTAATTCGTGAACTTCAGCATAGTTGGTACATCTGGAAAACTCTTCTTCATTCAAGTTACCTTCAATCAAACGAGCCATGTGTCCAAATTTGTTACCTAAGTAGTCCGAGATATGTTAACCATTTGTTGCAAAAATGTAAATAGGCACGGGTATGAACAAGACGTACGGATGACACCGTGCTCGATCAAGAATTGACCGAACGTCTTCCTACGATTTGCGTACTTCATAGCCTATTATCGGTGTTTCAGGTTGAGTCAGCCAAACATTCCAATTCTGTGGCAACAAGTTTTGATTTTGTCACCTCTTCAAAGCAAACACGAGCTTGACGAACGACACCCCAACAAATACCCAGACGTTCGTGGTTAAAGTTCTTCATGATTTGCTTGAATCCTTCGCCCTCTGACAGATAGAAAAAATTAGCATTGGTAAGAAATATCAGTTTCGTCTCAAACCGTGGAAAACAAACCTTTGCCGATAATGTTGGAGACTGGTACTTTGACATTCTCCATCATGACGTCTTGACAGATACAGGAGAAATCTTAGCTGATGCATTTCACATTCACACAATTTGGATTTGGTCTTACATGCAGTTCCCGATCCGATATTGCCTTGAGCTGAAACGGCTCTGGTCTTGAGTCCAGGCATACCACTAATGACAAAATTTAATATACTTACAAGCAATTTCACGAGAGAGTCCTGGTTTTACAACTCACCGTTCGAGTAACAACATGGACAATCCATTGCCACCAGCGTTACCAGTTCTCACACCAGTAATGAAAAAGTCCGCCCAGACACCGTTAGTGATCCACTTCTTCTCTCCGTTGACGATGAAATGCTTGCCATCTGGTGTGAGGACACCGTTGGTTACCATTCCTGCCACGTCACTTCCGGCGTCTAACAACAGATATTTAGCAAAAACTAGCGAACTTTTCCTAACAGATGATTGAGACGCTTTACATACATGGTTCACTGATAGCCAAACAGGAAGTCTTGAGACCAGCAAGACAAGGAATCAACACCTTTTGCTTCATTTCGTCATTTCCAAAGTTGTAAATGGCAGGGAGAGCAATCATGGGGCCAGTGTTGAGACCGGCAGAGATTCCTGGTTGTTATTTTGTGTGAGTGTGTGACGAAGGGATTAAAACAATAACTTGGCAGACAAAATGACAAACCTGTTGATGCACAACGAGCCAATTCATCAGTGACAATCAATTCATGCTGGAAAAGGAACGCATTAGATCAATGATTAGACATATAAAGACGCAAGCTTTCCAAAAAGCTTGGGACTCACGAAAACATCCCAATCTTCAGGTTTGATTCCACATGGTGGACCACATGGAGCTGTGACAACGGAGATTCTTTTAGTCACTATAGTCATAATCCAGTTTCATTCATAAAGCATATGTTACCATATTCAGAGGGCCATTTCTTGGCTCCCATGAATGGTACTAGTAATCCCAACTGTCCCCAATGCTTGTAGACTGATAATGGGAACATCTTGGCGTTCTCCCATTCTAGTGCGAAGGGAGTCTATCACAACAAAAGAATGGTCAAATAACTGGAAAGGGGGGTTTTGATGGGGGAAAATCTACCCTTACCAGCGTTTCGGCAACAACGCCTCGTACGTAGTCTCTCAGGTCTTTGTGAGATTGGTTGTAGTATGGGGTATACCATCCTTGGTACCTGTAACGATTCAATGCTTAGTTTTGACAACAGAACAAACCTAAACATGACTTGTACCATGATGGATCCTGTTTTTTTGAATTTTGAGTCAGAAATTGAGAAACTGTACAGGGGAAAGAACGAGTAACATACTCCATAAGGAACCAGTTCCCCGTACAGCTTTCCATCTTCTTTTGGTGGCAGCTTCTCAGCACCGTCAAGTTCTCCTATGACGAGTTTCGGACCGTATGACCCCAGAACGGTAACAGTATTGTGGAATTGAGCAAACTGCTGTGTACAATCCTTTCCTAGAACAGTCATCAAGATACGACGACCTCCACTATCGGGTTGAATAAACACATTGAGCATTTTGCTTATGGCATTATTTTTGTAAAACGATCAATAAGAGATGCCGTACGGGTGGCTTTCCAAGAAATCGGTGACATCGTAGACCTATATGAAAACTGTGTTAGAAGCTGAGATGACACCAAGAGTTTACTCGACATTTGTTACTTTTGAGTTGATTGCAACCCAAGCAGAATCTTCATGATTGTGCTTTGCCAATTCAGCCAGACTGATCTTCTTCAGGCTACCAGTTTGAGTGGCCATGGTATGCGTTTTAATGAAACAGTTAGTAGTAGTCGCAGTGTTCTCGCGATGTAAAGTCCTCCCTTGAGAAAGATTCTGAGAAAAGGAGGGCAGGCATGTACGACGCAACAAGAACGTGACGTCACAACAGAATACAACACAGACTTGTCCTTTGATTCCATCAGTTCATTTGACGTGTCGCTATGGATCGAAAGCATAGAAATCACGTATTTTTGTATTATTACTGGGGTTTGAAGTCCACATTGTAAACCAGGAACTTTGAACGAGTAGACCATGACAGATTGTTGGAACCTGGATTCTTGTAAACAAATAAATCCAAACTTAAATTCGAGCTCCCATAGCTCTAGCGACTTTCAGTTGTTGGCGGATACCAAAGTCCAACCTGATCGAAAAAAACAATGAGAATCTCAAACTCGCAACAACAAGAGTCAAAACAAAGAGAAAGAGAAAAAATGACAACAATGGCTCACATAATCTCCTCTGAACCGCCAGGGATAGCAGCTCCTCTGACATCTATTGTTGCATACAATTGGCGTGAGTGAGGGTTTCAAGTGACAGCGTCTTGCTCGAGAGTCGATGTTTACCTCGGTAGAGACGTTCAACGCGCTCTCCTTGACCTCCCTTGGTGTAGGCTACGCGATCATTTGTCAAGGTTAGTAATTTCGACCAGCATTTAAGTAGGTGCTTGTTTCCTGCGACAAACCCTTACCAATTCCACCCATTATCTGAGAAGCTTCACGAGCGCACTACATTCAGAAGATACGATTGGACGATGAGACAGTTCACATGCCAATGAATGTTTCACTATAGACACGTTTCATTCAACTTACGAGCTCGAACGTGATGGAGCATTGAGCTTTGCAAAGAGCGATTGGGCCAGACAAGGCCTTGTCGGCTTCTTCCTTGGTCATCTTGTCCCTATAAAGAGATTGTCAACAATAGTTCATCAAGGTGCAAGAGACGAGTTCAACCCATACCAGTTGTAGCAAATCATTTCAAGCCATGCTTGAGTTGCTGCAAAAATACACGATGATAAACAACACTTCTTATTCACTCGTGTGTTCGGCTGTCACTGGCATACCTTCAATCATACGAGCCATATGACCGAACTTGTTACCTAACGTTGACAAAGAAAGTGAGATTACCAGTTCAATAGCTCTGACGTTGGAAAGCACCAGTAAAGCGTACGGATAACACCGTGTTCAATCAAGAATTGGCCAAAAGTCTTTCTCTTGTTTGCGTATCGCATGGCCTGGAAGAGTACGAGCGGTTAACGTCTGCTCGATAAAGTTGATGCCGCTGTTTTAAATTCACGTTACCTCTTCATAGCACATTCGTGCTTGACGAACAGTACCCATACAGATTCCCAAACGCTCGTGGTTGAAGTTGAAGACACTAAAGAGGTTGGAAAATAGAGAAAGCGTTAGCAAGAACAGCCTCTGACCAGACACAACTTATGCGTACCTGTATTTGAAGCCTTGCCCTTCAACACCAATGACGTTCTCAACTGGCACTTTAACCTTATCCATCATGACATCTGTGGAAGACGAAAACGAGTCAATCCCAACCATGCATGCTTCTTGCTCACATACAACTAAATTGGTCCCTCACATGCAGTCCCAGATCCAATATTTCCTTGCGCATGGACAGCTCTCGTCGTGAGTCCAGGCATGCCACGTTCAAGCAAGAGGAAGCTCAAACCACTGGCTCCAGAACCACCAGTTCTGACCAGAGTAACGAAGTAGTCACTCCACACACCGTTGGTCTAAATAGTGAGAAGCAAGTCGTTCAGTAATCATGCATGCAACAAGTACATCCATACAAAGGTGTTGAGAAAATACTTACAATCCATTTCTTTTCACCAGACACAATAAAGTGTTTGCCATCTGGTGTCTTTTCACCACGAGTCTGCAAGTTGGCAATATCTGAGCCGGCATATGGTTCTGAGACAGCCAAACAGATTGTCTTTTTACCACTGAGTACGTCTTTAATGATCTTCTCCTTCAAGTAGTCGGAGGCGAAGGAGCTGATGACGGGTAGAGCCTGCAAAAAAGACGATTAAAAAAGCGGATTTCGAAATGAAAAGAGGACAAGCTTACTATCGATGGACCTGTTGTCAAAGCAGCTACAATACCAGTCGATGCACACCGGCTCATCTCATCAGCCATAATCAGTTCATGGAAAATGTTCCATTCAGAGGGCTTTACACCACCAGGAGGATCTACGTTTGCAAGTAGTTCACAGTCAAGTTGCGATATCACAATCAAATGTAAACCCCGAACCGTGCTCTTACCACAAGGAGCATACTTGCTAGGCCAAGGTCTCATTCCAAGTGCAGGTACAAGCAGCCCACGCTGCCCGAAGCTCGAATAAAGCGTTCGAGGCACTTGCTTGTCATTCTCGAATTGGAAGGCGAATGGAGTCAATTCTCGGTCAGTTACTTCACGTATGTAGGTTCGTAGACGTTTGTGTGATTCGTTGTAGAATACGGATTTCCAGCCTTGATACCATGATGGATCCTGTGCTACCAGAAATTAAAAGTTGGATGCAAATGAAACGAACAGCAAGACGTACACCATATGGAATCAATTCTCCAAAGAGTTCAGTAGATGGTTTGGGAGCTTCCTTTTCAGCACCGTCAAGTTCCCCAATGACTAGTTTGGGGCCGTAAGTGCCCATAACGGTTGCCTAACATTGCAAGAAGGTCTATGTGAGTTTGGCGTGAGTTGAAGAAAGTGACGTATCTTCACTTACGACATTGTGGAATTGTACGAATTGTTGAGTACATTCCTTTCCGATTACACCCATAAGAATACGCTTTCCACCTGACCGAAAAACACAAAAAGAGTTCAGCTTTAACCTCCACTGACATGTGGCTGCAGAATAATCCAAATCGTGTATTTTGTGAATTCGAACATTCCAAAATGTCGAATCTTGCATACAATTCCACTCGTCGACAACCAAAATCCTCAAATGTCAAAACCAACATAAAAACTGACACAATCACAATCACAAACCTGGATGTCCATCGATGAAATCTGTCAGATCAAATACCTATTATATCAATGCATTGGATACTAAGATACACCAAGACGACTTCGCTCAAGTTACATATACCTTTCCATTAATAGCGACCCAAGCAGAATCCTCGTTATTGTGTTTGGCCAATTCAGCAAGACTGATCTTCTTCAAACTGCTAGTTTGAGTGGCCATGGTTTCTGAATTCTTTGATTACTTTTATATATGTAGTAGTGGTATCTGCTTGCAAGGCTTGTGGCCGATTTTGCTTGGTGACACTAAATACCTTGCATGTCAACATGTGTTCTCTGCTTATTACGTCAGGGTGGTCCAATTGATGTACGAAATGAGGCATCTTGCAAACGTGTCGTAGCTCTGATCAGTCCTGATCTTCTAGTTTAATCGTCATCTGCTTGTTGTTTGATGCAAAGATTCCCACTCGCGTCTTTTACAACCAAACCACCAGCCAACAGAAAGTGGCCAAAAAAAGCCAACACGAAACAGGTCCACGAAACGCAAGTTTCCACCGATATACGACGCCTTTATTGATAAAGAACAAAATACTGAAAAAGTAGAAACTATGAGGTTATTTTCACCACTATGTACAGATACACCTTCTCCTGCGTGGGATGCCATACATTCACATTGTCACTTTGCTGCTTTTTAATTTACATTGATAATTCACATCTCTCTCCTTATTTAACCACCCAAATGAGCAGATATCCCAACCTGGTCGTATCTAACCGTCATTGTTGGATACGATCCAATAGCCAACCATACAAGAGCCGTGGAATCGGTACTCAGAGTACCGCATCCTTTAATAGTATCATGTACAGCCAGTTTGGTGATCTTTAGCAAGAGTGGTGGTGATGGAATGTCTTGTCCATATGCAGGGAGAACCCAGTTGGTGGCGGTATCCATGACACCGATGGGACCATCAATGTTGGTCATGTTGGCTTTGATGTAGCTGATGGTAATGTCGGAGCCGGTTGGGTTATCGGCGTAGACCTACAGTTGCAAACAAACAGTGAGATTCAGCGACTTTAGTCATTTCATTTCTTGAGGTAGAGAACAATTCAACTTGATCTTACCGTCAACCAAACCAAGTACTGAGCCAAATTATTCAGTCGAATACCAGCACGCTTTACAATAGGTTGTTGGATACCAGGCATGGTAGTATCAACCGATACTTGAGAGAATACAGACTTTAAAGCAGGGAATACGGTACTATTTACACTTCCAATAGCGGTAACATGTTGGTCTTGACCAGCCAAGTACTGGGTAACCATTTGAGCACCAACAGTGACGGCGTCTGGTGTAAGAGGATTATATACTACTTTGCCAACCATAGCATTGTCTCCGGGTGCGACTGAAAATGTGTCGAAAAACATTTTACCAATATTTTGTGCGGCGTAGAATACGTCGAAGCTGACGGATGAGACGTTCAATTCTACATTGGATGGATTCGAGACCTATCATTGAAAAGTGTGAGTAAACCAAGCGTCTGTCAAGATAGCCAAAAAAAATCCTTCAAGTTTGGAACAATTCGTACAGTAAGAGGCACCGACAATTTAACACCATTAGCGTCACCACCAGTGACTTGAGCTTGTCCACTAACGGAAGCCTTTGTCAACTTTCCTAGACCTTCCAAGACGATGGGGTATGTGAAGGGCATGTTGTGGATGGTGACAGATCCGATGGCAGTTTGCATGACAACATCGGCAGTGCCTTGGACTAGACAAGTGGTGTTTGTGGTAGACGAGAAGACCTGGCTCATGATGGCACTAAAGACGGCTTCTTGACCTGGGATGATATTTATTGTGCTGTTGGCGGCATCGACCTGGGTGTGTGAATTTTGAACAAATGTAAGACTTCTAACTATCTCCTTTCGCAAGAAAACGCAAGAGTTCCAAACAGTATGATTTGATGCAAATAACCCGCAACAACCACAGCAGTTACTTACGACCATGAAACCATAATCAGATCCACCTCCAGCTGCCAAAGAACTAGTCTTTACAGTACCAAACGTAGCTCCATTATAAGTCATATTGAATTGCTCGGTGATAGAGGTAAAGTTGACCCCAAATCCAAACGGCAGATTAACAGCAGCCATAAGCCCAGGCATAACCAATACAGGAGCAGTAGTAGCGGATCCATCGAATCGTAATCCGACACTAGGAATTTGGATACTAGATACGATTTGTGTCGACTGTCCAAATACATTAACGTCGGTTGTCAGGCCATGGAAGGCAGAGTACAGCCAGTTTATAGATGGACTGACGGTATCACCGACGGCTTGAAAGGTGGTTGTAGCGCCAGCAATGTATAGACTGAATTGTTGGGATGCGAGACCGTTTGTGCTGTTTGTTCCGTTTACGTTTAGTAAGTTACCGGCCATGTTGATGATGTTGGATCCAGGAGCGAGGTTTACAGGTGATCCGGATGATACCTGTCCGTACATGACGCCTTGGTAGAGAATGTTGAATTGGACTGTTCCCATTGCAATGGCGAATGGCGAAGGGTTGGGAAAGTCGACTGATAGTAGGATGTGGATGCCGCCAGCGACATCATCATTTGGTAGATCGAATGCCTTCACGACTGTGTTTTTCAAGCCGTTCAAAGCTACAAAAGGGGACGAGTATAAGTGTCTTGATGTCGGCAGTGCCAGGCAAAAAGAGCAGAACACATGTATTATTAATGATATGTCAAACATACCATCAATCCTAACAGTCTTGGCAATAGCAATATTCTTAATAACAATACCGACCCAGTTAACAGATACAGATCCAACCAAATCCCATTCAACATACTCGGAACTTCCCAATTCACGAGTAAAAGCCGCGAATATAGAGGGGTCATCTAGACTAACAGTTTGGGAGCTCTCGATAATAGAGTTACCACCTTGAATATAAAAGTTGGGGAGATTTGCTAGCTTAAACATGGGTTGGTTTTTCCACACTGTTTGGATTGGACCATCGAATGAGACCATGGAGCTAAAGATACCGCCACCAGAGACGCCCAGTAAAAGGTGGAGATCAAAGGACGTGTTTGTTGGGTTGGAGATGTTGGCTTGTCTGACGTCAATGGTCGAGTTGGCCAGAGAGTGGCCTATTCATGCATTTTTTGTCAGTTGGAGTCGCTGAGTATCTCAATCAAGTGTTTTGGATGCCATTAAATTGACCAGAGGTTACGGCAATGCAATGCAATCATGACTTACGAGCAATGAAGGGAATCAAAAAGTAGTATGCAAAGGGCAGAGCAGCACCAATAAATAAGATGATTCCGATCAGCGTCCAGAACCTAGGTAAATAATCCAACAGTGTTATTAAAATTCCAAACAAATAAAGAACAGTACCAGACTTACGGAGCCCAACGGCGACGTCTTGACTTGGTACTAAGATCATTCAGCTGAGCATCCGTTACAGGGCGCCCCGTTAGACGAGCCAATGTAGAAGCTTCCACAGCAGTAAGCTTCGTTGGTACATCCTTGAAAGAGTTTCTTTTCGACACTCCTTTACGAATACTATATCGGTGCAACCACGTTGGTTTGCGTTCAGGAGCAGCACCATTTAACAAGTCCTTCTTTTCGTCTTCAACTGGACTAGCAGGGACTTTATCTTCTGCAGAAGCTGCAGCGGCGTCAGTAGGTGAGGCAGGAGCCTCGGTATCATCATTATCAGCAGCAGTAGCTTGTTGATGGTCGTCCTCGTCAACGTTTATTAGAGTCCCGACGTTTGGCGAGTCGGGAATAACGACGACAGGGGCGTCGTCACTGATATCTACAGCAATCATACCCATAGATTTCTTGTATGGCGGGATGTTGGATTTTGCTTCTTGCAAGTCAGCAGAAGCAGCAGTAGCCGAGTTTGATCGTTTAAGGCGAGGCAATGCAAACTCCTTGAATATGCCGCCATATACCGACTTGCTACGTGACAGGTTACTCATCGTGTCGGGATTGATTTCTTGATTTGCGTACTAGTTGACCAGATCTGTAAGGGGAATGTACCAGATCTTGAAAGTTTACGAGGCCACGAATGAAAGGGGGAGGACCCATGACGGTGTTGACCGTAGTTCGGAGGTAAAAAGGTGTCTCGTCTTTCCTTTTAAATAGGCGACACACATGATGATTGGATGGCAAAGACAAGAAAACACGAAAAGTTCTCTCCGAATGTTGCCCCTAGGGACGGTCAACGTCGGTAAAGAAAGATGGAATCGTTTCTGTAACTCCAGAACGGCATGATCGATCTGCTGTCCTCTCTGTACTCCTGCCGAAGTGTCGTGTGGTGTTGCTTGTGAGGTCCTTTTTTCTTTTCAAACATTTTTACAGTTTCGGTCGGCTACCTGAGACGATGACGAATGTGAGGGAGTGATAAGGGACACGATGCCAGCCTTTTGATGAATGTAAGTTCACCCATTACTAGTATCTTGCTTGGAGGTGACATTTCCTTGTCACCTTTTTTGTTGGTGTATAAACATCCAATAAAATTAACACCGTTTCATCCTAGTCATTCCAGCTCCAAACCGTGCTTTATGGAAAAGATGGATGATGCATGATGAAGCTGTCAATTCTGAGTCCCTTTTGCAAGGAACTCGATCCTGCCATCATCAACATCCCTTTTTTTTGCTTGAACGAACACAAACACACTCTTGTTGTATGGAACGGTCTAATCGCTGCAAATGAAGATGATTTGTTTGAAACATGGATGAAATTCTCTGCTTGTTGTGTTGGATACAAGAAAGTGTTGAAGAATATTGAGAAGCGTCAATGACCAACTGTATCTTATTGAATGCAGTTTGAAAGCTGTTTGAACCCCGTAATTTGTTATTAAACAGGCCTGTTTAGAGTCACGGTCTACACTTTTAAACCATGTGTGGTCTCGCGCTGAAGGTCTGTGAGAGTGAATTTGAGTGTTCTCCTACTGTTGTTGAACGACTCAATGTTCAAACATTGGGCAAGATTTGCAGCTCACACATATAACAAGAATTTGTAAAGTCAGACTTGCTTGTAGCCGAGTCAGTAACAATCTACAGTTAAATGACCGAAACTATGGTGTTTTTGGACTCATTGCGTGCAACTGCGGATGTGTCGGCGACTCTATATGCTTTCTGAGATATCCCATTACAACGTTCCATCTTTTGTGTTTCAGCGCTGGTCTCTCGTTTGTTTGTCGGCTGCCAAAAATCTCCAGCTCAGTTTCGTCGAAACAAGGCTAGTTTCCCCATTTCGGCAGCTTGTTGACTCGAATATGAGGGAATTGATGGCATGAATGAGTAATATCCTTTGGAATAGAGAAGTTGGTATTGGAGAGATGGTTACCAAGATGAAATACTCACCATGACGACGCTATATGGTCATCAAACACGTTGATACCAATATCCAGTGACTTGACATCACAGGCCAAGTACTCGTCTCAAGGAGGGTGATATGATGATCGCAAAAGGTCTGGAAGTATATATATACGAGCTCGATGAAGGAGCAGGTTCAATGCGCCTATGTGATACCTTTCATCACTCGAGTGCAACATTGTGTTGGTTGAGACATCACCAATTACATTCAAACATCGTGGAGGAGCTTCATCCTTGACTGCATGTACATTGATTCAAGCCGGTCGGAGGGAAAGATAGATTGTAGCAGTTTATTATAGCCTTGTTGGCCACTTCTAATACATACGGACTCGTCATGAGAAACCGATTTATAGAGCACAGTTCAATGCCTCGTAGATACGATACAGCTTGTACCTCTGCGAGCGATATACCAGCAATCTATTGTGTTATCTGTTTGACTCTTTCTGGCTCTTTGGCATTGCGTCTATTGAATGTCTGATGTACTGTGTAATGTTATATGTGTCTTGGCGTGGACCATGGCTTCAGTCGATGAAACATGGGTGCTGCAAGTTCGAATCTATTTCCGATACGCGCGCATGTAGTTGTTAGAATGACTTCTATAAGAACTGTTGTCAGCAAAAAAAAAAAAAATCAATATCACAATGAAATGCCTTGACGTTTCCTTACTTGCCCAAAAGAATCCTTTGACACTCCCTTGAGTTTATCCACATATGAAGCCTAATCTCATTGGAGATTGTTGATTATGTGCCTTGATTGTGATTACATCCACCATTGGGCCAAGTCTTCATGGAATCGTTCAGACGATTCCTTGGAAATTCACCCGTCGTCTGTGTACTCTTGACAATGGTCTGTAGGATACTCAGGAGCCAGAAGAGGCGTTCCTGCACCTGCTAGACCGTGAACTAAAAGCAGCCATCTGCGAGGTGTTTTGACAGTCTGCACGTTTGCATCTCTGCCAATCGTGTGTGAATTGTGTGGTATTCGGTGTTGATGACGAGCACTTTTACATCTAATGTGGAGATTCCAACTCAACGCGAGCGATAGGCACCAAATAAGTAAAAGTATAGTGAGTTGTAAAGTGAGTTCTTACCATACGGTTTTGTGGGACACGTACTTCAAAGTATTTTCAACCCTCAACGACTAGTTTCAGAAACTGGGGCTTCTCGCATGCCTTGGCAGTTGGAGCAGTAAGAATGGTTGGCAATAGCAGCAAGGCCCAAAGAAAGTTTGCATTTCAGCAAGGCCTTATCGACGCTCTATTCGAGCGAAATAGTAGCTCAACCGTAGTCGGAGACCTCGACATGCTGGTGGTGTTGAATTGGTGGTTTACGTGCTTCTCTCGATGTCATATCATGACTAAATACATAATCAAGCATACAATTAACGTTAAATTGAGCATACCATCGTCACCATACTCCTTCCAATGTTGGTGGTGTAAAGTGGCGCCTTGTCCCGCAATACACTCGAGTTTTATCGGAACCGACTAATACGATCAAGACTTCCAGGGCGACTTTGACCTTCTAATAGACGGCAGATCCGTGCATAGATGCGTTGCCGTTTTGATCTACTCCATCGATCCCTTGCCGCTATGATACGGACAAGACATGTGCTGTGCTTCACGAGCCAGATGTGTTTTATTTTTTTTGTCGATGGATGCGTTCTAGACAAACTTGTGGTGGCGGTATTTGCAGGATCAAAGTTGAAATCAATATATAGAGGTCCCAGGCCTATTACACGTGTATACATCTATGCTTTTTCGTCGTCTACATCAAGGTTGTTGCCACGTGCGTGTGGTATAGCTCAACAAGCAAAAGCATCATGTCCGACTAGAAGTGCCCATTCAGCCCATTCTCCTCTTGATACTCTCCCACATTTGAAATGCATTCTCCTCTTGTTGAGACGTGTGTCTAGCCGTTTTCGGATGCAGGCTTTTCTTTCGGATGTGTTTGATGGTTTGCGATGATGGACAATTTTGTGACGGTCGCGAATAAATTTCTGACTGAATGTAATAGCCAAGCAGCTTGACATTCTCTTTACGCGATAGAGTGGTGTGGGGGGCCGGGAGTGGTGTCAGTTGTCGTGTGTTTGGGATTTAAGCATCGAGAAAGTATGACTGGTTGAGGTGAAAATTGGCTCTCAAGGAGTACAAGCTTCGATCGTAATCATAAGGATGCGTGTGCGGTTAGGTTTTATGACGCTACAGTTGATGGTTGGTCTGTATCGAGAACCTTGACAACCTTGAATTTTTTGTGGGATTTTGGATGGAGACCAACATATTTTTAAGTATTTGAAACCATAGCTGCTATTGAAATAGGTCTGGTTGGAGGACGTTTAGGTCGCGTTAGCTCGCGGTACGAACGAAACCGAATGGGTCTTATTATCTTGTGTGAGCGCTGCCTGGGGGAGTATCGATTAGTATGATGTCGGGGTATTGTAAACTGTGATTCAACTATAAATGTTCAATACAAGTGGTTGTGGTTTGCATCTACACCGAGTGTGGTCGGCGATTGGTTGAAATCTGCGGACGAGAGAACAAGGACGTGTATGCTTTGGGAGATTTTCGCTTGGATGGTTGGTGGATGGTTCCAGATTTGCATTTTGGACGTTCTCGACCTTCCCGTTTTTGTTTGTCGGTATTCAGCCACTCAGTCCCTTTCCTTAATCAAACCAACCAAGCAAGTTTCTCCATTTTGGATGAACTACGGTAACTGCCATCATGAGCGAAATATAAAAACACTAGGACTATGAACGAGAAACCTGTCGGGAATGCTAAACACTCTATTGGACTGGTGCTCTTGTCCTGTCTGTCATCTACTGCTAGAGTTCCCCATCAGTCTGCCCTGTGGTTTTTTGGTTTGTCGACACTGCTTCCCTAAACGAGACATCCGCGGTCAGGTATGTCCTCCTGCTTGCTGCTACATCCACCCTCATCCACTTGCTCTCTTGAACTGTCTCCTCCATTTGCGACCCCATTGTTGTTGAAACATCTTGATTCATCACTTTGGAGAAAACGGATCTTGACGCCTCACACTCAATATTCCCACACAGGAGCTGTTAAGGACTACCTCCACTGCCGACAATGCACACGCTGCTCCCGTCATAGAATCACCGGTTCGTTCTCCTCTCAAACCCACACTTGATACAGCCTCTGACAATAAAGCTTTTTACGTAAACACTCACACTTCCCTACATTCTAGCTGCTGTCCTTTTACTTATGTCCAGCGGCCGTATGTGGAAAGAGGCATCAATATCACAATGAAAGAACAGACGTCACTGTCTCCAGTACAATCGAAAAGTACCTACCGGAAGCTGCCCTAGCAACCAAGTTATGTCGAAAGGCCTACAAACTAGCTGCTCCTCATATCAAAGCTTCCATATCAGGTGTTGCCAATAACATACCAGACGAAACACTCATGGCCATCGATGGTGCCGATCCATTTGCTCACATCGATGACAACTCAGTAATCACCATACAGACCAACCTCAACCAAGCCGAAGGACTGTATAGAGAGTCTCTAGCTGTCTTCCCGCTATTAGAACCCTCTATACTAGGACATATCCGCGTTCTCGCTGCTCTTGGTCGATGGGATCAAGCCTTGAGTGAAACTCGCTCCATACCTGATATTCAAAAGTCTAGGCTTGTGACTACAGAGATAGTTGCTTTGGCTGCCCAATCTGGCATCATACTGTCGTCTAATACCGCATGGATGCAGCCTCATAGGACAGCTAGTACTAGTAGTGAGATCAAAAAGGCACTACCCGCAAAACCAGCACCACTAGATACATCGAATATACCAATCACATCATCGCATCTATCGCATCCTATTACTATTCCACCCTCGCAGACACCTCTGGAATTACCACTGGCGGCCGCCGACTTTGAATGTCTACTATGTTACAATCTGCTCTACGATCCAGTCACTTGTCCATGTGGGCATACATGGTGTCGGCCGTGTCTGCTTGAATCTACAGATCATAATCGTAAATGTCCGCTATGCAGAGCCCCACTGGCTTCATATGGTCACTACTTGCGACGGCAACCCAATATCATCCTCAACAAGATTATAACCACCTACTATCCAGAGCCCACGGAGGCAAGGACAGTCAGTCTGAATGAAAGAGCCACTGGTCCTGATTCGTGGATACCCATGTTTATTTGTACACTCGTATACCCTGGAATGCCGTGCTTCTTGCACATATTCGAACCACGATGTACGTACTTGTTTCTTTCATGAAGCTTGGATCGATTGATATTTGATGATGTCCTGGATTTTAACTTTCCTTGTTCCCCATGACAGATCGCATTCTAGTGAAACGGGCCATGGAAACCGATAAACGATTTGGTGTAGTGCTACCGTCATCAGTAGGAGCATTTGCCGAGTATGGAACCATGGTAGAGATACGCCGCTGTGAACCTATAAATGAACCGGGTACCGACTTGACTGGTGATGATGACAATGCTCTGCCAAGGTATCTCATTGATACGATAGGAATATATAGATTCAAAGTATTGGAACGAAGTACCAATGATGTAGGATTTTCAACCGCTCGTATCGAACGGCTAGAAGACATAGATCTAGAAGATGAAGATCCAGCAACAGTCATGAGTAGCAACAGTAGTAATGTGCAAGTAGTGTCGGATTGGGCTAATAGGTGGTCTGGTGATTCTCAAGCTACAACATGGTCTTCTTCAGCAGCTGCTACCTCTACCAGTATGGACGAACACTCAGATCATCCAATGGGTGAGCATCAGATGCCCAGTAATCCAAGTGGTATTGACCACAAAGTCATCAGTCAACCAACCACGTCTTCACCAACAGTACCACCATCACAACCCGTACCGGAATATACAGCAGAACCGCTAACACCACCACCATCAGCATCCGAACCATCGCATCTATCACGACTAGTCACCAAAGCCCTCGACTTCATACATAATTTTATAGCCTCACTACCCGAACAATCTCGTTTCTCGTTTGAAAGACAACATGGTATGCCACCTGCCGATCCTGGTGACTTGTCGTTTTGGTTGGCATCGCTGCTGCCAATATCACCAACCCGGAAATATGACCTTTTGAGAATGCAAAGTGTAGTAGGAAGGATGGAAAAAGTATGTCATTTGATCGATAGAGCAATAGAGCAACAACGTAATGCGGCTGGTAATAATCCTGGAGGTGGTGCTGCTCCTCAAATACCGAACACAACAAACCCAACCACAACAACAACGGCCTCATAGGACTACTAAAAAACGACCCAACTCTTATATAAATCGGGATAAAAGAAACAGTAGTCTCTTCCACTCCCTTTTTATTCCCTTTTATGTTATATATATAAAATCGCAAACCCACACCACTCCACCCTTTGTATCTGACACACTTGGAAGATTATTAAAAACAAGATTGGCTTATTATATTAGTAGTAGTTAGTAGTTTATGTAAAGAATTTCCGTTTCTTGTCGTATTGGACGGGGGTATTACATTCGCTGTCCCCTGGCCTCATTTTTCTTATCTAGTCACAAACACAATAGACTATGCGAATGAAAAAAGAGACGACTGCTTGGTGTGTTGTTCATTGGTTGTGGTGTTTGGTTATATTGTTATTTGGAATGAGTGTTGGTTGAAGCTGTAGTAAAGGCATCTCTAAAAACGCGATATTGAAGATGGATTCATGGCATGGCATGACATGACACATAACCAACATATTCGACACTTAACATATCAGCTCATGAACGTTTGATCTTCTTCTTCTCACAGGTTTCTTCTGTCCAATTCACAAAGAGGTCGTCAACAAGCAAAAAAGAGAGCATACTGGCGAGAGTAAGAACAGCTGTTGGGCATCTTGACTACATCTCCCACTTGAGGCGTAAGAACCTGAATCCCGTTGATGTCTAACAGGTGTTGTTTGTCTAGAAGTAAACTGGAGTGGCTCAACTTGATTTTCGTGCTCCTCCTTGCCTTGAAGTTACTCAGGTCGAATAAACACTAGGTCTCTTGGATGTTGAGTCGAAATAGCGATAATGTTCTTGGTAATTGTGGTGATGTAGTCGTTGAAACAGTGTGAGGTGAGATCACAATGTTAATGACCACTGCAGATCCATCGCAATTTTTTTCGCAGTGTGAAGAATCAAAAGCACCACAATTTATATCAGTTCTAGGGGCTCCGGTTTTGTTTGCTGGGTTTGTTCCTAGTGTTCTTCTGTGAATATCAAAATTCGACGAAACGGTGTCGTCCAGGCGTGTATATGCGCGCAATGAGGCGACCTTGGAGCTGGTATCGACGGGCTAGCCAATCCAATCTGAAATGACAGATGGTCTTGTTTGATGTTCAGTGAGCATTTGAGTGTCCAAAAATGAGAGCCAAAAAACCACGAGCTAAAAAACCACGAGCTTTCTGGCTTTATCCGTCAGCGCATGCAGCTAGAGGTCGGATGTCTTGTACTTCACCACCGAGCTTGACTCTTTCATCTTCTCCACAATGAGCCTTCACAGCAGATCGACGTGGTGCCATTCCGTGACTCGATGCACGCGAAGACGGTCTTGATCCACCAGCTTCAAACTGATTAGACGATGAGGTGTCGTCTGGTTTGGATGATACGCGAGATGTTGATCTTGATGATTTCTTGGCCTGAAGCATCGTTGCATACTAGAGGTATACCGGATTGATAGAAGTATAAATTTGAAGGTGAGCAAAAAAACAAGCAGTCACGTACGGTAATACCTCTCAACCTTTCGATTCAATAGTTATGGCCTAGTTCTTGATTCCGAAATGTCTGATCTGTCCACCTTCTACACGAAGAAGGCGACAAAGAGAGCACACAGACCAGAGCGAGAGCAAACTGTGGTTGCACAGTTTGCCTAGGTCGTCCACTTGAGTCTTGAGAAACTTAATCTCATGGTTGTCTTACAGGTGCCTAATTCCTGAAGTAAACGAGAGTTGATCTACGTGATTTTCCTGCTTCTTCCTTGTCCTGAAGTTGTTCAGGGAATAAACACTAGACCCCTTGTATGATAAGTCGAACCGGCGATGATGTACTTGCTAGTTGTGGTGGTGTAGTTATTTAAGCTGTTTCAGGTGGGAACACAATGTCAATGAATGGCAATTATGAATACACTAGTTACTCTTTGTAACTTGAAGGAATCAACATGCATACCTATTAAATCAGTTCCAGAAAGCTCCGTTGTGGCGGCTGGTTTCTTCGTCGTGCTCTTCTTTGCGAGAACAAACCCACTGCAGTGCCAGACCGAAAATGACCAACTTCAGACACAGTTTGCCGAAAAGGTGTCGTTTAGATGTGAGGATGCACAAAACGAAGCGATTTTGGAGTTGGTATTGACGACGCAGCTAATCGCATCTGAAAACACAGATGATCTAGTTGGTTTGATGTCAGTGAGCATTCCGTGTCCACAATGGAGAAACAAAAAACACCGCCTGATATAGCACCACATCCATCTGAACGGCTGAATGCTTCGTTCCTCAGCACCCATCTTTACAACTTGCACCTGAGACACTCAAGATGGAAGAAGTAGTAGACCTGTGAGATCTAGCGTTTACGTTCTCGAGAATTGTTTCGTTGTCAGCAGTCTCAGCAACTAGACCACATTTTCCCGATGTTTTCGTCTTGTTCAATTCTTGGGTTCTCTTGCATTCTAAGATGTCTTTCTTTGGGGACTTTAGACACAGGTGAGGATAAAAAAATACCTTCTCAACACAGACATCATAGCATGGCACTTTAAAGATTCAGCCCGACACAAACCCCTCAAACATCCCATCCTCTTCTTTCGAAAATGTATATATTGTTTCGTCCAAATTAATGAGGTCCTATACAAGCACAAGAAAAAGAAGCACACCACAAAGATTCTAGGCAGCTCGACTAGACCTCCCACTTGAAGTCTCTGAAACACTATCTCGTTGCTGCTGTCTAACAGGTGTTGCTCTTCCAGACGTGACGGGAGTTGCTCGACTTGATATCCCAGGTCCTTGTCGTGATGAAACCCCAGGCTGAATGACACTTGGTCTCTTGGATGTTGAACCGACTAGTGATGATGCGCGTGGTAGTTGTGGTGGTGTGATCATGGAAGCTGCGTGAGGTGGAAAGAAAATGTTAGTCACAATTCTGACGACTTACTAAATTTTTTTGCAGTTCGAAAATCAAAGACACACCATCCAAATCAGTCCTAGATGCTCCTTTGGTTGTTGCCGGTTCTTTGCCAGTACTCTTTTTCGTTGGCACAGATCGTCGTGGTGCCATGCCGTAACTCGATGCACGAGAAGATGGTCTTGTCCCACCAGATTCAGATCCATTGGTCGAAGATGTATCGTCTGCATGTGATGATGCGCGAGAGGTTGATCTTGAAGCTGGGATTGATGGAGCAGCTAATGCGATCTGAGACGGCCAGCACAGAAAAATTGATTAGATTTTGAGTCTCATAGTTTGACAACCAATTTTGAGGTAGAGCACAAAAAAATTCTACAGTAGATCATTCAATGAGTCTTACCTCAGCACGCAAATGCTCCATCATCCTAGTCGCATCACCTCCACAATGAATCTCAACAGCCTTAACAATAGCATCCACAGATACACTCAGCACATCACGACCAGTTCTTATTGCTAAATCCAATTCATCATGTCGAACTTCTCCGTCTCTAGCCTTTCTCAAATCTTTGGCCATCTTGACTACTTGATTGCTTGCTCTTGTTCGTCGCGCTTGTAAATCATCCACATCTTTACGTAGACTCGTCAATCGGGTTTCCAAGTGTTGTGTGCTGGATACGAGATGTGTTTCGCGTTTGGAGAGCTCAGAGATTTTGGATTCGAGTTCGGAGAGGGATGATCGGATTCGGTCCGCTTCCATGGTGCAGAGTCTTGTTTGGGACATGATTGCGTTGTATTGCTGTTCGAGCATTTGTTTGTGTTGGACGTCTTTGGCGTCTACTTCTGACTTGTAAACACTAAAGCAAAGTTCGGCAGAGTTAGGAATTATACTCAATTTGGTAACTGTAAGAATCTTACTGGTTACGGTATGAATCGTTGCGGTCATTGAGGAGTTTCAAAGTATTCTCCAATGCCCGAACTTCACGTTCCATTTTGCGAATACTGACATCAAGGGTATCACCTTCACGTTGCAACTCTTCTCGTTCCTAAAATGTGTGGAGATGGAATGAGCGAGTGCACAGATGAGAAATAATTGAAAGAAGACAATGCAAGCTCGTCACGTACTTGAGCAGCCTTGATCACATAATATGCCTGAGTCTTGGTCTCTCCAGCCTCTCCATCCTCATTATTCCCCATCTGATTAACAACGATATCATATCTCTTCTTCAATTTTTCAATACCAGCAACCCGTTCACGTAACTCGACCATCACTTTACTCTTGGCTTCTTCCACATCTCGATGACGAGCACGCAGGATGGATGTATGTGACTGGATGTCTGATAATCGTTCTTCCAATCCGAGTTTGAGTGTCAGTTGTCGTGTTTCCAGATCAAAGACAGTTTCGGCGCGAGATGAAAGGAGGAAACGTAGGCGTCTGAGTTCTAGACGAGTTAAGTTTTCTTCAACCATGATGTCTTCCTTTTCACGGACTTTTTGGGATAGTTGCTGGGCCTAGACATGAGATTTTGTGGGAAACAAAGTTAGCGAAAACAATCGCGGGGGGAAAAATTGTATAACCTTCTCACAGCACTGTCGTTGTATAGCGTCAACTCATCAATTCCTTGAAGGACCACTTCCTTTTCTTTCTGTAGACCTTCACTCTTCTTCTTGGCATGTCTGAAAGTGCCAACAAGAGTTAGACTGAGTGCTGAAAGTACATGTTGCTGGACACGTTGCCGTTTTTGCATTAATTAAAAATTCACTCCAATTCATACCTAACATCCTCTTGAGCCTTCTTCAATTGAGCATTCAACAGAACGGAATGTTTTGTTTGTTGTTCTAAGGTCGCAGTCAACTCTGAAATACGTTTGTTCAAGGCTTCTCGTTCTTCCTCAGATCGTTCTCCCTTTGCACGACGAACACGACGTTCTAATTGCTGAATGGCGAACTCTTGTGCATAGAGCAATGATTGCTGTTTCAGGGCATCCTGGTCAAGCCTAGTGAGTGGAGCGAAGCGTTATAAAGACCAAGTACGAATGCAACTATTATTTGGCTGAAAAGGCAAGCTCTCCAAGCGACATACTTGTGAACTTTAGCCTTCAAGTTCTTAAGAGTTGCTTCGTTTCCAGCAATTGCAGCGACTAGTGCCTTTTCAGATGTCCTCATCTTGTGCAATTCTTGTGTTCTCTTGAATTCTAGTGTATTTGTGATGGTGAGCAAAGAAAAGGTTGAACCAAGAGCAACAGAAACACATACGCTGGTCACGAAGAGTCTTGATATCCTTATCCAGTTCTTTGCTACGTGATTCCTCAGCTTGGAGCATCGTTGCATACTAGAGATATACCGAATTGATAAAACTGAAAATTTGCGAGGAGAGCAAAAAAACTATAGGAAGTTCTGAATGATACCTCTGAAGCTTTCGATTCAATGGTCATAGTCTTATTCTTGATTTCTGCCATCTTGGCTACAGCAGCGTCTCTATGAGCCACTTCGCGTGATAGTCGAGCACTACCGTCCTCGATTTCACTCTTCAATTGAGTGATTTCGGATCTTCGTGCATATACATCGGCACTCGCTAGACGAAAAAATGGAAGTTGTTAGAACTCGGTAAGCAAAAGAGGAAAGACCGTTTAAGACTCGAATACCTTTGGACAAGCTTCCCTTCAGCACATTGACTTCATCACGGTATTCAATCAAAGCCCTCGAAGCTTCCTGTTGCTGTTCACGAAGTTTAACAACAGACCGTTCAGTCAAGAATATCTTCTTTTCGGTTTCACTATTAGCCTGTTCTTGAGACTCCAATAAAGCCCTTCGTTCATCAATCAATGCCCGTTTCCTAGCCACTTCTTCATTCGATTCTCGATGACGGACTTGAGCTTGCGTGATATCCTCATCTCGTACTTGCATCTCCTGTATAGCATCCTGCCATTTCTGAATCAAATTTTGTCGTTCAGAATGGAGTTTACGGAAGGAGTCTGTAGCTCGATCCAGTTCGAGCTGGGCTACTCGAGTTTCAGTTACTTCGGCACTGAGTTGAGCTTTTTTCCGCGAGACTTCAGCCACAGCTCGTTCTATTTGGAGAGATAGATCGCGGATGCGAGCTTCGTCCTCTTTAGAGTATTTCAAGATTGCTTGGTTGTCTTCTTCCTTTTCGGCTTGAGCTCGAACCCATTCGTCTAGTTCTTCACGTTCGATACGGAGTTCTCGTCTTAGAGTGTCGACTCGCTCGTTTCCTCGATGTATGGACGTTTGAATGGCCGTTATCTAAGCGAAAACCCTGTCAGAAGGTGTTAATCTAACACGACATGCAACAATAGTGGGTTTACGTTTTCCGAGACTTGTGAGATATCCTTTTCGATTCTCTTTTGCTCTACAGACAATCGTCCCAATTCACGTTGAGCCAGACTTTTGAAGTGCTCTTCAGATTGAATTTCACGATTCTTGGCCTCGTATAGTCCCTATAGAGCGATTTGCATATCAGAGTTTGTGCGTATATACGGAGTCATCCCATGCATGAATGAGGATAGGAAGGTGTATCGTAGTGAATGCGTGTGATTACTTGAATGTATTGGAGCTCCTGTTGGACATTTCTCATGTGTCCGGCCATAGCGTCTGCTCGAGATGCATGATCTTCATATTGAGCCTGTAATTTTGCGAGACGCGCCTCATTAGCCTTGACCTAGTAGTTTGATGAGAGATCAGACGCGGCAGAGACATGTCGTTGTGGGTACATTAGTGAGTCTGATGGTGTTGATCTTCTACCTGTTCAGCAACCGCTCTATTTCGTGCATTAGCAAAAGGAGGGAGCGAGTAGGCACTAAACTCGTCATTCTCCATATCGTTAAGAGAGCTCTTACGGCGCAACATTGCTGGATGCACTATCCCTCTGCCTTGCCTTCGCCTATATGTTGGATTCTTGACGACGTGACTAAGTTTGATGCTGCTGAGCAAAAGAGAGCGAGTTCGACACGATTCATCTTCATCAAATTATGTAGTTATACGAGGATCTCGCGTCATTTCATTCGTTTATCGTTTATTATCTCACATAGTCACATATGCTCAATATTAGTCCTCATCCAGATACAGCAAGCGAGAGATAGATAGGGAGAGGTTAGGACAGGAGGCCCATGATGACTGTATCAGCAACTACAAATGCCAATGCATACAGGTCTCCAACCAGTAAGTTCATCATTCTATAGTAGTATCATATATCGTCAACGAGAGAGCAGCATCAGACTGTGCTTGGAAGACAGAGAGCAGTAGTAGAAGTACCAAGTGTTATTGTTTAATGTTATAAATGGATTACATTGCACGGAGAAGAGGACTCAATTCTCAAAACAGAATGTCGCCCTCTGTCTTGTCAAATCTGGTAACATCAACGTCACGTCCAGAACAAGAGGCTCTAGAATACTATCAAGCAAACTTTCCTGAATTGGATAGATTCATTCTGGTCGTATTGTCCCCTGATCAACAATATACTACTCCTCTTGCAAGCTTCTCTCATGAGGCTCTATATCGGTAAGTGCGAATTGGTGATTATCATAACCTCGTTGATCTTGTTACTCTTCGTCATTACTTGTCCAACTCCTCCTCATCCCATTCTCGCTCTCACCTAGTATCGCATACACGATCTGTTGGCAAGGAATGAGACGCCAACTATATGACAATGTCATAGGCTCCATCACACAAATACTCACTGCACAGTACGAAACTCTCTCTTCAATCGAGGTCCCTGCTTCTTGGTTTAAACAGTTTGCAAAGCTGCTCATCAACCACGATCGTGCCACGTCTACCATGTCTAGCATATTCGCATACTTGGTACGTCAAGCATAATGCTTTTTGTTGTTTGAGCAAGTGTTTCTCGGAATGAGTCACTCGTTGGCGAATGCTAACATACATATACTCCAACGTCAACATGTATAGAATCGAACATATGTAAAGAGTGAATTGCAACTGGATCTGACTACTGAACTACGACAACTGCTGTATGCTCGATTCGTCCAAGGTCAAAGTGAGAAAATCTTCCGTGCTCTCCGAATGGTCGTGGCAGGAACAATCTCAATCCAGGGAGGTGTCATCCAAATTCCAGGAAGGGATATGGCAGATCTCATTCAGTGCCTTCACCGCATCAGTACAGGCAAGCTATCTCAAGCTCATTCATCCTATTGTGATAAACGTGTTTTGTTTTCTGGAGAATCCTCGATCTTATCCCTTCCCTCGTTTCCTTAGACTTCTTTTGGTATAATCCTCCACTCTTCCAACAATGCATACCAAACTTCCAACCTCCCACAAACGCCGCTGAACTCATAGCCAGGTTTGATCAGACTCAGGCTCGATTGGACGTGGAATCTCAAATGAATGGAATGCCACCTACTTCTGACATGAGCAGCAGAAAACATGGGCAGGATCCCGATGAAACTCCTACTTCAATGGCAAAGCGAGTCAATCAAATTGATTATAACGACGGAATGGATCATGATTAAGAGGAACCAGAATGGATTGGGTATACTCTTTTGTAATAAAGAATGCATTTGGACACATTAAAATATTAAACACCTGTATGATCTTTTACGTTTATGTGTTTACAACAATTGCTATACTTCTCTATGCATATGGACAAAGCCCATCAAAGTTTGAATATGCTATCATTTATTCACATATGTTACAGATTTATTTTTGGCACGGTGTTGTATCTCCTACATCGTTCAGATTGGAGAATGTACCATGTTCAGCACACGAGATGTCAGAGCGACTATTGCTAACGCCGATACGACATAATGAGTCCTTGCTGCCACTAACTAGAGAAACCCATGCATCAATATCTAGATTATTTTGACATCTAAAGTCGCAACGAGGCCACGTATTAGGGCTTCATTCACGCCCACGGTAGCTCTTGCAAATCCAGTGTGTGCATGTTTGGGTGGTGTAAGGCAAAGTCCATCCATTTGTATGGAAGAGTCGGACCGGTTTGGACCTGTGACATGGGAACAGCACGTAGTTTCAAAGCTGCGAGAGAGGGGATGCGGGATCCAACAAGGCGAGAAGGTCCGCTCGAATGACAAGGCGTTTTAGAGTTTCACAGCATACGAGAAGCCGGTTCGTGCCAATATCACGATTATCTTCCACTTTTGTTGGGACGGACGTTACTGTAAGGATCCTGGTGTGGATCCACGGGTTTTGCCAATAACCATGTTTAAGCGAGTTTACAGTTTCAAAGGTGCGGTTGATGAATGATTTGACAAACCCATCTCGACTTGTGTTGATATGACGACATAGTTTGCAGACGGTTGCCAGGTTCCAGTCTTTTGATACTGGAGGCGTCGAGTATAGGGTCTTGTCCTCGCCGACGTGCTCTAGAACACCATCGAGGACTACCAGTGGGAGATGCCGAGATTGAGCAGCCATATTCAATGACAGACTCGATTCTACTTTTATTGCTTGAAGATCTGACGGGACTTGGGTTCAATCTAATCATTTGGTCGTTAATAATGTTTTGAGTGTTTAATGTCGATGCAAACTCGACGTTGCTGAGAAGAGGAGGCGGAATAACGCAGATTATAATTTAATATAATGTAAGAAAATAGAGTATCGTAATGCAAGCTCAACTGTATCGACAAAAACCGTACTTTGGACGTGCTGCGCCAAAACCGTACTCACCTTTCATCAAACTGTTGGCAAGTTCCAAAAGACTCGAAGCGACTACTACGATGTCAACCAACAATCGACGAATAATCACGCTGCGGCCTACGAGCTAGTGATGTGAGCGATGTTTAGGACGAAGTGGTCAAGAAACACAACCATGGTCGCAAAAACTTGCAAAGCTCGCAATCAAAGACGAATTGAGACTAGTTGTGGTGCGTTTGTCTATTACACCTAGGTCTATTTACCTGCCTAATCGTCATCCATATCATACAACCTCCTAATCCTCCCTTCATATGGCACACGGCACGTCCAACCTTTACCAATACACAATTTACGGTTTGTAGCTACAGCCACACGTTCACGCAACTGTACGCCTTGTTCCTTCTCTTCTGTTGGTAGTCCCTCAGTAATCCCTCCAACAAACCAGATCTTCCCGGACCCTTCAAGCTCTATAGCTGGAGATGTTGACGGCCTCAGTGACACTGCAGTCAACAAGGAATTCCCAGAGATGGCGACAGCACTACACAAGCCCAAGAATTTCAGTCTCGGTAGTCCAGCGACAAGTCTTCCCATATGTTCATCAGTCAGATTCCAGTGATGGGCTGCGATAATGGAGAGATGCTCCAGATTCGGCAAGATTACCGTCAGTTTGTCATAGTCCATTTGTTCTTCGTTCGGCTTTACGGTGAGTGCGATGGATGTGACAACAGGCATCGGGACTGTTCTCGATAGTAGTCCACCAGCCAGAGCATCTGCAGCGAATATATCGAGACCTTTTAGAGCTGGAAAGCTACTTGCGGAGAATATTGGTCGTGTAATCTGGGGCTCCTTACAATCGTATAGAAACGACTTTAATGTCATGGATACCTTTAACAAAAGCCGTTCTAAATCTGTTTGATGAAATTGTTAGTCTGCTTATGCTTATGCAGGGACGAAAGACCTAGCCCGTTCGTTACCTTGTGCTACAATCCCATCAACCTGGACCAGACTTAATTCCTCCAGCCGACAACGCTGTAGCGATTCGAGAAATCCAGTCGGCAATACACACTTTGCAACCGCCACGCTGGTTAGATTGGAGAACGTACCATGTGCAACACACAAGATATCAGAGATATTGCGGAGGCTTATAAGCCGTAATGACTCCTTGCTGCCGGTGACAAGGGCGACCCATCCATCACTATCTATATTACTTTGACATCTAAAGAGGTCAAGATGCCATTTGTGTAGAGCTTCATTCATGCCCGCGGGTAGTTTGTGTAAATCCAAGGTGTGCATAGTTGGGTGTCGTGAGGCGAATTCCATCCATTTGTTGTATGGTGGAATAATCGGAGCGGGGTCGGCTTCTGATGCAGGGACACTTTTCAATCTCAAAGCTACGACGGACGGGGATACGAAATCCAGTAATGGCAGTTGGTCTTCTCGGATTACCAGACTTTTTAGATTTTCACAACATACGAGGAGGCGTTTCGCAACAATGTCACGAATATCCTGCACCTTTACTGGAAGTGACGTTACTGTAAGACACCTGGTGTGGATCCACGGGCGTTGGGAATACGCCGGTTTAATCGAGTTTACGGATTCAAACGTGCAGTTGATGAATGACTTGACAAAGCCGTCACGATTTGTGTTGATGTTACGATATAGCTTTCTGATTGATGCGAAATTCCAGTCTTTCGATACTACCGCCAGAGAGTATAGGGTCTTGTCCTCGTCCACATGCTTTACGACACAATCGAGGACTACGAGTGGGAGATGCCGAGATTGGGCGGCCATATTCAATTGCAGACTCGACTGTACTTTATTGGTTGATGATACAACCAGACTTGGTACCAATCTAATCAGTTGGTCGTTAGAAATGTTGAATGTTCAACGTTGGTGCAATGTTTGATGCAAACTCGACGATGCTGAGAAGAATAGGCGTCATAACACACAATTATATGACTCATAATGTGAAAAAGAGTAAATAAATAAATAAATGATAGCAATTCATGTTCAAATGAAGGCATGAAGACGACTTTGCAATAAACTGCGCTCAAACTCACCCTTTCCAAGTGACTCGAAGCAACTAATTTGATATAAACCGAGAATTGACGTGTATTCAAGTGCCCATGCGCAAGGTAGTGATGTGAATGATGTTTGGGACGAAGTGATCAAAAAACACAACCAATGTCGCAAAGTCGCAAAGCTCGCAACCAAACACGAAGTGATGAGCGTCTACATTCAGGTCTTTATATTATCATACATAGTTCTTATATTTTTATTTGTAAATAGATTTTGCTGTTCCTACATACTATATATTTTCCATTTGCGACAAAGCACACCCAATAACCGCATACAAGTAGTTTGCGGCTGGTGGCTGCAGCGACACGTTCAAGCAACTGTCTTCCTTGTTCGACCTTGTCTTCTGGTAGTCCCTGACCCACTCCTCCAACAAACCATATATTTCCACCTCCAGCAAGATCCAATACTGGAAAGTTTGGCGGTTTCAATGACATGGCTTTCAGCAATGCGTTACCAGATATGACGGGTGGTACGGGTAGGTCCAATTCCTCACCACCTGTGAAGCTGAGAGACCCTAAATTATGTAACCTGGCTAAAAGTCTTCATACATACTCATCCGTCAAATCCAAGGTCACAGCTTGCCTTCCAAGGTCCAAAGTCAAGCAAGGCCTGCAAGAATGATGGACACCAGCGAGATAAGATAACTACTTTAGTATTGTCTTGGGGCCTATGCTATCATAATGCAGCGTTCTTAAAGCACCATTGATGTACGTAGCAATGACGAGCGAGAGTAACTCATCAGCAAAGCGGCTGTAAAAGAAAAGCGGTGTCAGCATTTTTTCATGCCATTTCAATCCGATTCAGGTTTTGAAATTTCGTTCCTGACATCAAAGCGCAGCAAAAAGGAGTGTAATTGCAGCAAGGATCAACGGAAATAGTATCTCCATGCTGTAAAATGTCTCTACATATTCAAGGACTAGACTTATCTACTCGAACGGTCTCAGATCAGATTGCGACAATTGACGCTTTCCTTTGATACTAGTAACGAGAATCAATAAAGCAAGTCATACAAAAAGAATGATTTATAGTTTTGTTCATCAGGCAGTAGTATAAGTACAAGAATATAAACGGAGCATCGCACAGAAAGATAACATTGACCAAGCAAACAGATCAGATACGACAACCAATCAGTTTTCATCGTCCCACACATAGTAGCCCAAGGAGGTATAGGTCGCTATCGAGTGAATGTGTCAGCTCATACCAATTTGATACAAGACGTTTATATGTCTACTTGCCATATTGATTAGACATTTCAAATCCCCAGTCGGTTGTTCGTACCACCTCATGCGCAGGGTTAGTATTGACTCGTGTCTATAAGACTGATGGTAAGAAAACAGCGAATTGTGTTAAGAAATTGGCTGGTTTCCGTCCAACGTTTTACCTTGCGAGTGGCTGGGTCGTATCTCCATCGTAATCTATCAGACCAGATCGAGCTCTCCCAGTATCCAGTAGGACGAAACCAAGCTCTGGCTCTGAATCCTTCATCTTCATCCTCGTCGCCGAAGTTAAAGTTCCTTGCATCATATTCCCTGTTAGAAAATTGTTTGGGGCTTGATACTACTACTCTCCGTTTTACCACGACAAACAGGAAAACAATATACATACCATGCGATAGATGAGACTTCCTCGAATGTGACAAAGCATCGTTCAGCATCGACTATAGCCGCTACATAAGAGCACTTCCATTTACTGTCTTGAGCGACATTAGCTGGCGCATGATCTGGACGAGCCAGCACACATTCCCTTAGGGCGGCAATATTGTTTTGAGCAGCCAGAACCG